CGCTGTGTGTCCCGCATGTTTTACTTCCAATGCAAAAAGCTCCATCTTCAACTACCGCCTCGGTCTCTCCTGTCTAACTGACTGCAGCTGGCGTTGTTTTTTATTTCCAGGGTCAATTTTGTTTATTTCCGGAGAAAAACGGAGGTACACAAAGTTGCGTTAACTGCGTTAAACTATTATATTGCATTAATCTCGACCACATTAATCGCATAGATTAACGCGTTAATGTTGACAGCCCTATATAATACATAGTTACATGGGGATGGTCATATGGGGCTCCACATTGGTGTGGTGGTTAGCACTGTTGACTCATGGAAACAAGGTTTTCTGGTTGATACAAAGCCAAAGTTTATGGGCCGTTAACTCACAGTAATACATTGATTATGTATATAATCAATTAAGTCGTTGTCTTTTAATAGTTTTACTTAGTGATACCAACATTCTGTGACTGTTCCTTTTTGTGGGATTCACCAGAGCTTTTTGTACATAATATAGCCCGAAACTGAATGCTCTGCTATACCAATTTGTGGGAAAATGGAAAATCCAGAAAAGTATTCCCTATGTTTTAAATACAAAATACTGATCAAAATTGTATTTTGTTCAAAATACACGCAAAATACAGACAAAAATACATTAATTGTATTTTGTTACGTTTCTGGCACCAGCCATCTATTTGAGGGGTATTTTCTATCAAAATCAATGTTAATGTGTTTTTGCCCATCTCTGATTAGCATAATACAATATGGTGCTATATACAGATTATATAGTACTTGTAAGTACAATTATAATGCATTATAGACATCTAATGTATTAAATCATCATGACCAAGGAATCTGGTCTCACAAAGTGATCACTTCTGTTTCTTCAAAGAACTTTGGATCTTTGACTAATGCGTTTTTTGTAAACTGAACGACAGACTTTGCGTAAATGAAACATTCTTCAATAAGTAGCTGTTATCACTTTTGGGTCAACCTTAATCGGCACTATAGTTAGCAGCTAAATGACCCTCGATGACACTCGTAATAGAGTTGTTGGATGTGAAGCTAGCTTAGCTAGCTAGCTTAAATTAAAGTTGAAACGGAAAGTCTGGATCTGTTTTTCAAATTTGCATTTTATGCCTTTCTAATTCACACATGTTATACCTTTGTTTGTATTTTTTGTAGAACATGTAGCAGTTTAGAGGTGTCACCCTGCTGGCAATTAACACCAGGTGGCTGCAATGAGGTGGGCCGGTTTAAAAGTGGCACGAGCAACCACAGTTTTAGTTTGAACAATTAACGGTATTTTCCTGTAAACAGGAGTTGCTGTGATCAGCGGATTGGGGTCGCTGCTGTTTTTCTCTCCGGTGAAGTTTTTGTCTCCACGCACTTTTCTCCGCTGAAGCTCCACCTCCGGGGAAGCTTCATCTCCGCGGCGTGGTCCATACTGAGGCTTTGTCTCGCCACGCTGCTTTTCCTGGCGTCTCCAGTTTATACCGTGCGCCAGATCAGCTCCTTTTTAAACACTTATCACGCCTGTGTTTTAACCAGGGCTGTGTCCCTTTGTATTGTTGGATGATATTTTAGTTTTGTAATTTGTTTTTGTCTTTTTAGTTGCTGGAGACTGGTGGTGCTGGTGGCTTGGTGGTGGTGTCCTACCCCTTTGTTTGCTGTGTCCTGGGAAGCGGGTTCCTCACTACGTCGGGTGGTTTTGAGTTTGTTTTCTTGATTTGGTGGGTTCCCCCCACCCCCTCTACACCTAGCCTTGTCCATCCACCCAGCTCCAGCCCTCTAATTGTCGGGATGCGTGGAAGGCAGGGAAGGTAGGACTCAGACGCAGAGTTTTTTGGGAAACAAAAAGGGACTTTAGTCAAAAGGTTTTCAAAATCAAAAGGCCAAGGGGCAAAAACGGAGACAGGAACCAGGAACCAGGAACGAGAACACTAACAAGAACGCTGACAGGGACTTCCGACATTGAACAATGACGTGACAAGTGGCCACAGACACACATGGCTTAAATACACTAGGGAGGTGCAGGTGATTGGACACAAGTGGAAACAATCATGACATGACAGAAAAATCACAGGGGATGACAGGACAAGGCAGGAAGTGACATGACCCAGGGAGAACAGAGGCAAGAAACTACAAAATAAAACCAGACATGAACCCAAACCGTGACACTAATTAGATTTTTTTTTGGGACTAATTAAATTTCACTGATTTTGAAGTATTTAAAATAAAGCTGTACTTTTCTAAAAACGTGAACGGTCTCCTGCCTCAAACGAGTAAACTTACCTGTGGGCCTTGTATGTTCCAGATTATTTCTCGGGGTGAAATTCCCCAAGTGGTGTTGTTGGTTTCTTTATTTAGTTTCATTCCCCTTTTACACCCGATCCTCGATGCAAACACAAAATGTAAAAGCAAAGATTTGGAGTGGGTTATGTTTTTTAATGACTCTGCTGGATGCCTAGGATTTGGACAGATAATATTACTATACTACTATTACTATATTAACGGATTTTTGAAACCTTTTGAAACCTTTATGGTGGCAAGTTATTGAGATATACCAGACTGGACCAACACAAAAACATCCCAAAAGACAAACGTTGTTTCTTATTTATTATTTAAAGTGTTTGCCTTCAAGATGAACGGTACATAACAAAACAATTCTAGAATTTTATGCTGAATATATTCAGCAAACAAGGTCCAGCAATACAAATACACTGAACGCATTTACTCTCAATGCTTATTTGCATATTCTAGAACGCTTGCCTGTGACTTGACATGACCTCTGGATAGAACGTTTCACCATGTTCATTGTTCTAGCTTCCATGTTCCCTTTCCCACAGTATTAGAGGGGGCATCACGCTGTTTTTCTATACATGTTTTTCAACAATTACTGATCAATACTGTCATGAACAGGGTAGGTGGAGGCAGGACTCAAACGCAGAGTTCAAAACAAAAAGACTTTAATAGTCAAAAAATCCAAAGGGCAAAAAACAGGACCAGGAACTCACAGGGTTCAACATTCAACAATGACACGACAAGAGACACACATGGCTTAAATACACTGGGTGACTGGATGATTGGACACAGGTGGAAACAATCATGACACGGCAGACAATCACAGGGGATGACAGGACAAGGCAGGAAGTGAAGTTACCCAGGGACACAAGAGGCAGAAAACAACAAAATAAAACAGGACGTGAACCCAAATCCTGACAAATACAATACTTTCATGATGGTAGAATTGTATTTGTTGCTGGGTTAGACTGCTTTGATTCTGGCTCTTTATAGTAAAGAATTGCTCTTCCGTTGTGTGTGTGTGTGCACACAACTAAGCAATAATGCAAAATAATTGAAAAAGGCAACTGTCTAAGTACATATCAACGTAAAAAATATTATAAAAATAAATTCTGTGTTATGGAACCAGTTACTTACATACTTGATCAAAAAAAGAAAGACATTTGTTGTTGAAATCCTTGCAGCAAATTTTAAATAGTAAGGCCATTCTTGATAAGGTTATTGGGAATCATAGAGGACAGCAGGACATACAACCTGACTCATTCAGGGAATGAGGCAAAGACTCCCTAGTCTTTGTTCTGCTCGTCTTGACTCCCACAAAAGACTCCCTAGTCTTTGTTCTGCTCGTCTTGACTCCCACAAAAGACTCCCTAGTCTTTGTTCTGCTCGTCTTGACTCCCACAAAAGACTCCCTAGTCTTTGTTCTGCTTGTCTTCGTGCTGCGAGGCTATGCAAACGCTGAAGCTAACGCTTCACTCACCCTCTAGTTAAATACTCCCTCGTTGGTGGAAGTCGGCTACGGCGACCACTCCCCCTTGTTTAGGAGACAAAAGGTCGATTGGCCTCGGCAGAAACGCCTCAAAATGCAAAATACCAATCACCTAATCAGTGAACAATCACCATGTGGTGTTTTGACAAACTGAACGTTTAAGGATTCAAGTCTCTTCTGCTTCAGAAGAGAAGGCAAAACAGACTTAGATCGGGTCAAACCTAGCAAAGTTAGGAGGGCACGCTAGCAGTTAACTTAATAGTCTATAACAACAACTGGCACTAAAAATGGAAGGAGCTTAAGCCAAATAGCAATCAAGTTAACTTAAACACTAGAATCAACAACAAATTTAGCAGACTAGCTTGGTTTAAAGAAAAGATACTTAGTCCGATTTCAGGTCGCCTCGATGTCGGATGGCCTTTTAGTAGAGATGCACGTGATAGGACCTCTTGTCCCAGAAAATGACCCAACATGGCTGGTTGTACAGTTAGTTGTTGCTCCTGTTCATTACAACATGAGATGAAACCATCTCATACCTCGAAAGCAAAATTGTCAAGCATAGACAGGCATCCAGAGCTGTTCCCTGGTGTCAGAGTTCTACCAAAACACCACTATCTTAAACACTACCCGCAGATCATACACTGTTTTGGCCCTTTAGTTAGTTTGGACAATGCGATTTGAAGCCAAACATCATTTGTTTAAGAACATTGTTAAACACACAAGTTGCTTTAAGAATGTACCACTGACTTTGGCTTCAAAACATCAAATGATTATTGCATTCCACATAAATTTGCCGTCTTATGGTACAGTTATCCTACAGGTATCTAATGTCTACACAGTTCCAGTTGGTGTACTGAAGGAGGAAGTAGCTGACATTCATAAATCATCATCGTTTGTTACGCTATCCTCAATTTACTTCAAGTCCTTTGCTCTTGGCTCCATGCTGAAGAGATAAAAAGTAAAGCTGTGGGGTTTCTGAGTCAGAGGATGTACTCATCAGCAGCAGATTCTGGACAAAAGCAACATTTTAGTTAGAAGGGACTCTTGTGGGCACACTGTTCTTCTTTAAGACCCTGATTTCCCTCATACGGTTAAGTGGCATTTCGATGTTCTGACAATATGAAGACATATTAACATAACATAGATACATAAATATATTTAAATTCAATATCTAAAATTAATCTGCTGTCACAACTTCTCCAGTTAGAACCCAAATGCAGACTACACAATGTAGGTGGTGACAAGGTGAGTATTTATTGAACAAAGGAAGTGGTATTCCCGACGTGCAGACAGGTGAATTCCGGTGATGTCGTGATGTGATGAAAGGTTTAGGTTGCCAGGCAGGAGTGACGGGAATCCAGGGTGAATGAACTAGAGACTGAGATACAAGAAATAGATAAGCACACAAACTACAAAAGGTGAACAAAGACTAATTCACTGTTGATGCTGACACGCAAGCACACATACGCATATGATCCGGCAGGGACTGGATGTCAGGTCTCGGCTTAAGTACTGTTGTGACGATGATCGGGACCAGATTGATTGAGCACAGGTGGGAACGGGCACTAGTGATCCTGGACCTCCCGCCTTGTCCTCGTTGCTCAGCAACCGAAACAAACAGACACAGATAACAGGAAAACGTACTCAGGGAGCTGGGGTGGTGACGGACGCATGGAGTTGGTAGAAACCCTCAGCAGGTCTGCGTCTAGGATCTCATGCCGAGGGATCCAGCACTTCGCTTCAGGGCCATAGCCCTCCCAGTCCACGAGGTACTGGAATCCTCGCCCTTGCTGTTGGGAGTCCATGATGCGGCGCACCGTGTAGGCAGGACCTCCGCCAATGATCCAAGAAGGAGGAGGCTGAGGAGGGGGGTAGCAGGGGACTGAGGAGGACAGGCTTGATGCAGGAGACATGAAAGGTGGGGTGTACCTTGAGGGATCTGGGCAGCTTCAGCCGGACTACTGCAGGGTTGTGATCCTCTCTACCACAAATGGGCTGAGCCAGACCTTGTCCCCCACAGCATAGGGGGGTGCAGGGGAACGGCGACGGTTGGCCTGGACCTGATACTGACCAGAAGCCTTCAAGGGGGCAGCCCTGGCACGATGCCAGGTCCGGTGGCAGCGGCAGACATGAGCTTGGACAGAGGGAACAGCGATATCCTTCTCCTGTGAGGGGAACAAGGGGGGTTGGTAGCCGTAAAGGCATTGAAAGGCAGACATACCCGTGGCGCCGGTGTGTTGTGGGCGTATTCTGCCCAAGGAAGCTGAGAGGATCAGGAGGTGGGATTAGAGGAGACCAGACATCGAAGTGTTGTCTCCATCTTCTGGTTGGCCCTCTCCGCTTGGCCGTTGGACTGGGGGTGGAATCCGGACAAGATACTGGCGGGGGCTCCGATGGCACTGGAGAAGGCCTTCCATACTGCCGATGTAAATTGAGGGCGTCGGTCTGATACGATGTCCCTAGGAAGACAGTGGACCCTAAAAACTTCGAAGAGCAGGATTGCAGCCGTTTCCGTGGCAGAAGGGAGTTTCGGGAGAGGCAGAAAGTGTGCAAACTTGCTGAATCTATCAACTACGTTTAATACAACGTGTTACCTTCAGATGGGGGAAAACCAGTTACAAAGTCCAGAGCCAGGTGGGACTAGGGCCATCTGGAAATCGGTAGAGGATGTAGTAGTCCTGCACTGGATCGATTGGTTCCCTTATTCTGCGCACAAACTGGACAGGCAGCGACAAAATCTGTGTCCTTTCCCATGGCTGGCCACCAGAAGCGTCAGCGCAATAGCGCCATGGCACGGGTAACGCCCGGGTCACCAGCAATCTTCGTAGTATGTGTCCACTGGAGCACAGTTGAACGAAGAGGTTCAGGCAGAAACAAACGGCCCAGCGGGCCGTTACCTGGGCCAGGTTGATTCCGAAGGGTAGTCTTAACTTCCTCCTCAATCTTCCAGACTACTGCCCCCACAACAATGTCCCAGGAAGAATAGTCTCGGTCTTGGCCCTCGTCTACTCGGTCTTCGAGAATACACGGGATGAGTCGTCTGCTTTGTCATTCCAAGAGCCTGGTCGATACGTGACGGAAATGTTGAAGCGACCAAAAAAATAAGGCCCAACTGGCATGATGAGAGTTGAGACGTCTGGCGATTGCACGTATACGAGATTCTTGTGGTCAGTCCAGACGATAAACGGTTGCTCAGCTCCCTCTAGCCAGTGGCACGACTCCTCCAAAGCGAGCTTGACGGCGAGTAGTTCCCTATTTCCTACGTCATAGTTTCTTTCTGCTGTGGAGAGACAACGTGAAAGAAAGGCACACGGATGGAGCTTACCGTCAGCAGAGCTACGTTGGGACAGGATGGCGCCAACCCTTACATCAGATGCATCCACCTCCACCACGAACTGAAGTTTGGTGTCTGGCTGTGTGAGGATGGGTGCTGGTTCTTCAGGTCCAGGAATGCTTTGTCTGCCTCCGAGGGTCCAGCATAAGGACCTGGCACTGGACATCAGGGCTGTCAACGGAGCAGCCTCCCGGCTGTAGTCTTGGATAAACCGGCGCTAGAAATTTGCAAACCCTAGAAACCTTTGGAGTTGCAGTCTCGTACCAGGGTGATACAACGTGTTACCTTCAGATGGGGGAAAACCAGTTACAAGTCCAGAGCCAGGTGGGACTAGGGCCATCTGGGAATCGGTGGAGGACGTAGTAGTCCTGCACTGGATCGATTGGTTCCCTTATTCTGCGCACAAACTGGACAGGCAGCGACAAAACCCTGAGTGTCCTTTCCCATGGCTGGCCACCAGAAGCGTCAGCGCAATAGCGCCATGGCACGGGTAACGCCCGGGTGACCAGCAATCTTCGTAGTATGTGTCCACTGGAGCACAGTTGAACGAAGAGGTTCAGGCAGAAACAAACGGCCCGGCGGGCCATTACCTGGGCCAGGTTGATTCCGAAGGGTAGTCTTAACTTCCTCCTCATCTTCCAGACTATTTAAACTAAGTATGAATATTAGCCAATATATTTGTAATATTCCCTATTAAACAGAAATATAGGTATGTGGTGGTGGGGCAGGGTTAGCTCAGCTGCAGAGGGGGAACCTAGCGAGTGGGTGGTTCAGGTAGCGGTGCCGGGATGAGGTCTAATCGGCCTCAGCTGAGCTTAATCTGTGTGTGTGGGTGTGTCTCCCTCCCCAATAAAGGGCAGTAGGGACTGAGAAACGAGAGCAGGTCAAATGAAGAGTGTGAACGGCGAAAACACTGTATTCAGAGTGCTCATTAAAAATAATTGTTAAACCGAACAATCTGTGACGCTGCTTTATACGTCCGAGAATCAAGGGGTAACGCAGAACACGTTGCTTTTGGAAAGCAACAGCATAGAAGTAACAATTCAGTTTTTGCATTTTCATTAAATCAGCTGATGAAGTCAGACATATCTGGTGTCCTTAAAATTGATACATACAACAGAAATACAATGCTCAAATGATTTAAAGAAACACATTGAACACATCAGATATCAATGTGAAAAATTCACTTCACTGATATGGACAGTTTAATAGCTTAGGGACGAAAGGATGCCACATTGTGTGGGGAAATACAAGTTTCAGCCTACAGAGGGCTTTGATAAAAAAGGTAAAACTTGATGTGGCAGCCTAGTGCAGTCTGCCTAAATTCAATTACTGACACTTAAAATGCTTTTCAATATCTGGTGTGGCCACCCACATGCTTGTATGGATGCTTAAACACGTCGCGGCATGCTCCTAATGAGACGAGTCTTGTGGGATGTCCTCCCAGATCTGTCTAAGGGCATCAGTGAGCCTCTGTAAAGTCTGATGAGCAACCTGGTGGCGTCTGATGGGCCGAGACATAATGTCCCAAAGGTGTTCTATCGGGTTTAGGTCAGGTGATTGTGAGGGCCATCCAATGGAATCAATTCCTCCATCCTCCAGGTACTGCCTGCATACGCTTGCCACATGAGGCCGGGCATTGTGGTGCTCCACGAGGAACCCAGGACCTACTGCACCAGCGTATGGTCTGACCATGGTTCAAGGATTTAATTCCGATACTCCAATAGCAGTCAGACGTTCTCTAGCCTGTAGAAGTCTTTGCGTCCCTCTGTGCGTCTCTCCATGGATATGCCTCTCTAGACCATCACTGACCACCACCATGCTGAACCATGTTGCAGGCAGCATATGTTCTCCTTCGTTTCTTCAGACCCTTGCACGTCTATCACAGGTGCTCAGGGGGAACCTGCTCTCATCTGTGAGAAGGACAGCGCGCCAGTGGTGGAGATGTCAATCCTAGTGATCTATAGCAAATGCCAATGGAGCTCCAGGGTGGACAGTGAGCACATGGCACACTACAAGACGTCATGCAATGAGGCCGCCCCCATGAAGTCTGTTTCTGATGGGCAGAGACATTCAGACCAGTGGCCTGCTGGAGGTCATTCTGTAGGACTCGGGCAGTACTCAACCTGTTCCTCCGTGCACAAAGCAGCAGATTTCGGTGCTGCTGATGGGTTGAGGACCTTCTACGGCCCGTCCAGCTCTCCTAGAGTAACTGCCTGTCTCCTGAATCGCCTCCATGTCCTGGCGATTGTGCTGGGAGCCACATTAAATCTCCTTGTGCCATCCGGGAGGGGCTGGACACTCTGTGCAACTTCTGAAGGGTTAAGAAATGGCCTCATGCTCCCTGTAGTGATGATGACTCTAGCTAAAGCCAACATTAGTGAAAACCCAGTCAGAGAGATCCATAGGGAGAAACTCCTGTTTTGGGGGCCGTCTCATTGTCGCCCCTCTAGTGCACCTGTTGTTAATTCCATCAACAGCAATGCAGCTGAAACTGAGTAACAACCCCCTTGTTACGTTCTGACTCCCCAGGAGGGGAGTGGGATTCACGTCACTGCCCGAGGACGACCTGTGACCAGTAAACGGGTATGGCGTCGTAGGTGCAAGAAAACAAACATCACCTAAAGTTGGGGTAAGCAGGCTTTTATTTAAGCGCTGTTAACAGGGGAAATGAGGAGGGCTGGCGGTACCAAAGCAAAGAAAAGAACAAAATGCCTCCCACCCCAACGAAAACCACTAACTGGCACACTAACAGGGCGCCCTACCCAAACTTACAGTAGATGGCCCAGCCAGGTGTAGCTAGTGTTGTTAGACAGGACAGTAACCCTACGTGCAGGTATGTAAACTCCGGAGCAGGGCTAAACTACTCATCCCTCTGTAAGAAAAAGAACAAAAGAAAAAAAACAATTAATTGAATACACAGTACAGAAAATCACCAGAACTAATAACTACCCCACCATACACCAGCACTCACATACACACAACCAGTGACACCCACCCTGGGTGAAACAAACACAGGGGTACATATACTGACAGAAGGGCATGATGGGATTGGAGATGAGTGGAAACAGCTGAACCGGGTAACGAGAGTGGGTGGAGCCAAGATGAACGGAGATCATGGATGATCAGGACCACCTGTATGAACACACACACACAGTAAACAGAACACATACCTATACACAGAACAGGGGACGTAACACCCCTCTACTGCTTACTGACCTGATCATTATAAGAGAAGTGCAATTGAATTCATGCCATATCCTGATAAAAGATTGTACCTTTAATTTTTTTGAGCAGTGTAGAAATTAAAATTTTAAAGATATATTCTGTGAGTCACTTAAAGTTGTATATGTTGGTATATAAATGGTGTATGTACTGCTAAAAGGTGCATACTTTTTACACCAGTGTTCCAACCACTTAAAGTGCTTTAACATTACATCCCCAGTCATTACAGGTACCACATCGACACCTGCCCATTAGTAAGTAACATTGACACACCGTCAATTTGTCTTTCTCCATGAGAACATTGTTTCTAAAACCCAACATTTAGCCTTTAATAATTTAGCCTTTGGTTTCTGGTGGTAGCAGCACGAGGTCATTCAGGTGTTTAATCAGAGCAGTCAGACCTGAGCCTGAGGAGTGTAACGGTTCGGATAGGACGACCTTGATGCTACACCTGGGGGAGGATGTGCAAAACACTGGAACAACATCCTGATGATTTAGCTTCTTTTACAGTCCTACCAGTGAGGAGTTGGAAATGGTTTATTCTGCACTGTTTCACAGGGTCATTCACATTTTCATCCTCCTGGAGAAAATGTGTTGTGCTTTAAGCAGGTACTGTGCACACAAGACTTCAGGAAAAGTGTGTTCAGTCAGTAGACAGATAGGGTCTAAACCAGGATACCAGTCAGCCAGGCTAATAATTGGTAGTTGACGAGGGGGTCACAACAGGGAGGTCGGATAAAGGATACACGAAAACACTGCAGAACTTGGCAGTGACACACGAGACAATCTGGCAGGAGATTTGTGCAAGTGAATGGACCTCACTGCAGGTGAGGAGGGCGTGAATAGCAGGTGAGGGATGTGAGTGCTGATCGGGGGGGCTGGATCTGAAATAACAAAGTTGTGGACAGGGTGAAAACAAACTAGGATGACGTGACAATCGTGACATTGTTAATCATCTATTAAGATTTCAATTAGTTTTCAAGTTTTTACCTAAGAAAGAACCTAAAATGTACAATATAATCAACACATGCTTACACCGAATCATGGCTGTAGACCTCGGGGTCGGAACACCTCGAAGATTCCTGCAATGAATTGTAGAGGTCACAAGGTGATACATAAAATATGTCCACAAAATGGAAAATGAATGATTAATGATCAGTTTTTTTGTGTTTTTTTCTTTTCAAATCCTGCATACATTCACCTTCAGGCATTCAACACTGGCCAAAATGGTTGGGAAACACTGTATTACAGTGAATTTTAAAAAGTGCAATATCACCATTGCACTCAACAAAACAAGATTACACAAAGACAAAACATCTGGCTGGAAGACTGGAAAAATCACCTCCAGCACCCGGACCACCAGCACCGGTGCCCTCCAGGGATGTGTGCTCGCCCCACTGACCTTCTCTACACCAACAACTGCACCTCAGAGGACCAAACTGTCAACCTCTGAAGAACACAACGGTTATTTTTGCTTTGAGGACAAAGCCACCGTTTTCCGACATACAGCACTGTACCACCACCTGCTGGCCAGAAATATCCCTCCTGCTTAACTCCTCCTCACAAATGTTACACGATTTTACTATTAACGTCATTGAATCATGCAACTTATTGTGTCCATGCAAACAAACTACAGTACTTGTTGAACAAGAAAAAAGGATATACAGTCATCCCTTAATTTAGATCCAATGAAACACTGGCTGAAAAATACTTTCTCCTGCATTTCCTATCAGTCTTTTTAGAAGAAGCAAAATACAAGAATTCATGAATTTATTCATGGAATTATGAATTTTAATAATATTTCTGAAATGTTATGAATACAGGGGCACCAATCTATTATTAGTGACAAATAGCCAAACTATAAATTAAGTCTGATAATTGCGGTTTACTCCATATGTTAATTTTCAAGGTACTATTCCACATTGAGTGTGAAGATTGATGAATAAAGAGTGAATGATCATTGTATTATAGACAAATTGAATTTATTGTGATGTTTGTGCATTTTACTGTACGAGGACTAACACACTGATTATTGTCCTCGTATCGTTCGAGTAACAAGGATGTAAACTTTTATAAAGGTGAGCGAAAAACTGAGGATAACTCGTAATTGAAATCAGGAAATGATAGGAAAATAGTATGGATTAGAAATAACTTAAATTCACAGGAATATTTTCAAATAATGGTCAGTGATCGCAAGTATTGAGTCCTTAAATCTGGTACATTTACACACTCCACTTGCTTATCCAATAGAAATAAAAAAAATTAATAGAAGTGCCATGAGAACACCATGAAGAGGAATATCTTCATGGATAATATACAGTGCATCCGGAAAGTATTCACAGCGCTTCACTTTTCCCACATTTTGTTATGTTACGGCCTTATTCCAAAATGGATTAAATTCATTATTTTCCTCAACATTCTACACACAACAACCCATAATGACAAAGTGGAAACTGTTTTTTGCAAATTTTTGCAAATCTGTTAAAAATAAAGAACGAAAACATAACATAAGTATTCATAGCCTTTGCCATGACGCTCAAAATTTAGCTCAGGTGCATCCCGTTTCCACTGATCATCCTTGAGATGTTTCTACAACTTGATTGAGTCCACCTCTGCTAAATTCAGTTGATTGGACATGATTGAGAAAGGCACACACCTGTCTATATAAGGTATCACAGTTGACAGTGCATATCAGAGCATAAACCAAGCCATGAGGTCCAAGGAATTATCTGTAGACCTCCGAGACAGAATTGTATCGAGGCACAGATCTGGCGAAGGGTACAGAAAGATTTCTGCAGCATTGAAAGTCCCAATGAGCACAGTGGCCTCCATCATCCGGAAAATGGAAGAAGTTTGGAACCACCAGGACTCTTCCTAGAGTTGGTCGCCCAGCCGGACTGAGCGATCGGGGGAGAAGGGCCTTAGTCAGGGAGGTGACCAGGAACCCGATGGTCACTCTGACAGAGCTCCAGCGTTGTTCTACGAAGAGAGGAGAACCTTCCAGAAGGACAACCATCTCTGCAGCACTCCACAAATCAGCCCTGTTTGGTAGAGAGGCCAGACGGAAGCCACTCCTCAGTAAAAAGCACATGACAGCCTGCCTGAAGGACTCTCAGACCATGACAAACAAAATTCTCTGGTCTGATGAAACAAAGATTGAACTCTTTGGCCTGAATGCCAAGCGTCATGTCTGGAGGAAACCAGGCACCGCTCATCACCTGGCCAATACCATCCCTACAGTGAAGCATGGTGGTGGCAGCATCATGCTGTGGGGATGTTTTTCAGCGGGAGGAACTGGGAGACTAGTCAGGATTGAGGGAAAGATGAATGCAGCAATGTACAGAGACCTCCTCGATGAAAACATGCTCCAAAGCGCCCTGGACCTCAGACTGGGGCGATGGTTCATCTTCCAACAGGACAACGACCCGAAGCACACAGCCAAGATAACAAAGGAGTGGCTTCGGGACTCTGTGAAAGTCCTTGAGTGGCCCAGCCAGAGCCCTGACCTGAACCCCATTGAACATCTCTGGAGAGATCTGAAAATGGCTGTGCACCGACGCTCCCCATCCAACCTGATGGAACTTGAGAGGTTCTGCAAAGAAGAATGGGAGAACCAGCCCAGAAATAGATGTGCCACGCTTGTGGAATCACACCCAAGAAGACTTGAGGCTGCAATTGCTGCCAAAGGTGCTTCGACAAAGAATTGAGCAAAGGCTGTGAATACTTATGTACATGTTAGGTTGTCGTTCTTTATTTTTAACAGATTTGCAAAAATTTGCAAAAAACAGTTTTCATTTTGTTGTTATGAGTTGTGTGTAGAATGTTGAGGAAAATAATGAATTTAATACATTTTGGAATAAGGCTGTAACATAACAAAATGTGGAAAAAGTGAAGCACTGTGAATACTTTCCGGATGCACTGTATATGGCCTATAGGGTTAACTATGGTTTGGGTCAGATGTGTTGAAGCGACATGACCCTGAGCCAATGTAGAGTAATCTATCATACAAATTAGGCTGTGTGAGGTTTGATTTCCTTAAACAAACTTCACACTGGGGGCGGCACGGTGGTGTGGTGGTTAGCACTGTCTCCTCACAGCAAGAAGGTCCTGGGTTCGATTCCGCCCAGAGGCCTTTCTGTGTGGAGTCTGCATGTTCTCCCCGTGTCTGCGTGGGTTCTCTCCGTGTTCTCCGGCTTCCTCCCACAGTCCAAAGACATGCTCTGGGATCAGGTTAATTGGGGACTTTAAATTTCCCGTAGATGTGTGAATGTGAGTGTGAATGGTTGTGTGTCTCTGTAGCCCTGCGATTGGCTGGCGACCAATCCAGGATGTACCCTGTCTATCGCCCGAAGTTGGCTGGGATGGACTCCAGCCCCCCCGCGACCCTGTGTGCAGGATAAGCGGTTTGACGATGGATGGATGGATGGAGATTTGCAAAAATTTGCAAAAAACAGTTTTCATTTTGTTGTTGAGCCAATGTAGAGTAATCTATTATACAAATTAGGCTGTGTGAGGTTTGATTTCCTTAAACAAACTTCACACTGGGGGCGGCACGGTGGCGTGGTGGTCAGCACCGTCGCCTCACAGCAAGAAGGTCCTGGTTCCACTCCACCTTTCTGTGTGGAGTCTGCATGTTCTCCCCGTGTCTGCGTGGGTTCTCTCCGGGTTCTCCGGCTTCCTCCCACAGTCCAGAGACATGCTCTGGGGATCAGGGTGATTGGGGACTCTAAATTGCCCGTAGGTGTGTGAATGGTTGTTTGTCTCTGTGTAGCCCTGTGATTGGTTGGTGACCAGTCCAGGATGAACCCCGACTATCGCCCGAAGTTAGCTGGGATAGACTCCAGCCCCCTAAGACCCTGTGTGCAGGATAAGCGTTTTGCAGATGGATGGAACTTCACATTGGGGCAAACCCTGTTCAGCCGCCATAAGTCATGTGAGTGGGGAGTGCGGTCGTCCTCCGATCAGCTGGTGTGCGTTCAATCCCAGCATGTCGATGTGTCCTCGGGCAAGACACTTCACCCAACATTGCTCCTGTAGCTGTGACTACAGCGTGTGAATGTTAGTTACTGGTGGGCAGGTGTCACTGTGTGTGGTTCTCCTGTCATCAGTGGGTGTGAATGATAAAAGCGCTTTGAGTGGTTGGAAGACTAGAAAAGCACCGTACAAGCACAGCCTTGACTTCCATTTGGAGCTACAGATGAAAAGTTGAGGGTAAATGTAGACGCTGATTGGACTCGACACGTCACAAGATAGATACGCTATTTTTGAACAGGATGAATGTTCATTCTCCAATAATCAATCAATTGTATAAAAAAATGGAAAGTTTTAGTTCAAACATTCTGTCGTTTCACTTCCTTGATCAGTCCCATATGTTAGCATCTACTTTGCTTGGCTGGGTTTTCTGAATAGTGGCGTGAACTATGAGTTCTGCACTTAGCCTGGTGATGACGACCATTTAAAGACATTCGGCACGACTCGGGTAAGAAAAATAACACCGTTGGAAAGAGTGCACAGAGGACAAAAAATGTTTATGCTCAACATTCCGTTACCTCATTATTTGACACATTAAATATGAACATGATGGGGCTGGGCGGTTTGGCCAAAATCCATATCGCGAGTTATTCCCGTATTGCTTTTTCAAGTAAACACATTAATTCATTGACTCCGAAAAGAACCGCCAGCTACCCAAACAGCCTGCTCACAACTGGCCGGCGAGCTAGCTAGTTAGCATGTTAGCTTGTTGGTGCTGCTAGTGTTGCCACCAGAGGCTCAAGAGACTTTGCAATAAATCGTTTTCTGATGTAACTTGTGTCGGATCTTTCAAAACCAAAAAAAACCCTCCAAACGGACACCGCTTGGGCACAAGTTGCTTCGCTCTTATCCGTGTTTTCATGTAGCAAGAAGAGTTGCTTCTTGTTGTGAGCTTTACCCAGCATGCAACATTCAGACCGTACGGAAAGCTTATACTCCTTGATCCGATGTACCGCCCAGCCCTACGTGAGACATTGTACTTAACAGGAAAGAATATGCATAATAATCTTCTTCAAAGCAAGATTATTATTATAAGTCCCCAAAGCTCAAACAAAAAAATGTATAAAAGGAGTTGTGTACATTTGCAGGAATACAATTAAAGTCTTCCACATTTTGCATTCCCAAACAAGGAAGTCCTTCCGTTCTCAGCTCAGGGCCTCGCTGCCTTGCTCGGCAGCTCCTCAACAGCCGCTGCTGAGCCATATGAGATTATATGCTCAGTTGGACCTCACTCATCCCTCCGATCTGCATTTCCTTTTACTTAATGCCTTTGAGTGTGTAGTAGACGTGCTTGGGTAAAATCACATATCCCTTTCCAAGAGCTGCTGGCAGCCGGCGGCCCGTCACCGGCATCTCGCATGCCGCCTTCAGTCTTTTGAGCTCCCTCTCCTGCCGCCGACACTTCTGCTGCGTTGTTTTCAGCTTTTTCCTCAGACTCCCCAACTGCTCTTCGAGTTGCTCCATGCGGCGCCTCTGTCGAGCAGAGTCCTCCGCCGTGTAGTTGTGGTCGCAGGAGACCGCCGCGGTGTCGCAGCGCATCTCGGGCAGGCTGCTCCCTGGCAGCTCCTCCTCTACCCCCGGGTCAGAGGTCAGAGGCAGCGACAGAGGGAAGTGGAGGTCGGAGGGGAAAGGATCCTCCGGGGACTCTGCCTGTCAGACAACAAGCACACAGTGTGTTTACATGATGGTATGATTGGAATCTTTGCTTAGTCGGACGATGCTCTCTTTTGGGGGGAGGTGCTATTATCCCAATATACATGGCAGTGAATAAATCCAATCATTGGCTGAGAGCATGTCATACCCGATACGATAGGTGGCGCTGTTTTCATTACAACTAGTTGTGATGCAGCCATTTCCGCTTGACCGCTTCACCACTACCAACAACAACAAGATCAACATTAGGAGAACGATGGCGAGTGGAGAGCAAGGTGAAGCTACGTCCCTCTACTGTCTGTGCATGATGTTAATAGGAGCACAGCGAATGCGAATGGCGCTATTGGCTGATTTGATAACGGAGAGAAGAGGGCGTCGGGATCTCAAGCATCCGCAAAGACGCAAAGTCAGTTCCTCATCCGATTCACCATTACATGCCGCGATAGTCGAACTATCAACCGGATCGGATGGAGTTATCCAGGCGTGTTAGTCGGATCGTAGTCGGACCGCACGTAGTCAAAGGTGTTTACATGAAACGGATCATTGGATTTCAGTCCGACTGAGCCAGTTATTGGAATCCATGGAACCACGCTGACGTTTCCTTACTGCTTTCTGAACGAATCAAGAGAAACATGAAGTCAAACAGAGAGGAGTGCGCTTTCTCTCTATCCAATATTTTATCTTCAAACAGAATAGTAGAAAAGTGAAAACTGACAACTGCGGCTTTCCAAGAGGGATGAAGCCTGAAAGTGGTCATTTTGATAGTCAGACTATTAATCCAGTAGCATGCAACAAATTGCTAATTAAAGCGCTGTTGGAGCAAAGCAGCGGATTAATGTCCCAAACAGAATCAGTTATAGCGTTATAGCCAAGACTTTCAATTGATTAAAAACTCATTAATCGCACATTTTAAAATTCATTAATCTCGATTAATGAATGTTGTTTTTAATGAATGTTTTCTTTAAAAAGACTAAATCATACAAGTAATGAGTAATCACTTTAGAAAACGTGCATTTTAGACACGGTTTAATTAATGGTATTTCAAACACAAAACTACACACATTTGACCATCTTGTGGTTGTGGGACATGAGGTCATCCGGCTGTAGTAAGACGACACAAACGGAAAATGCTCCTCAATATCTTGTGCTTGCATGGATCCTAATGAGACGACGTCCTCGCTGTGATGTGAACGCTAAGGTGTGGGAGAATTCACAGAATAGTGGCGCCATCATCGGGACGGGCATCCACGCACACGTGGGATTGGGATTTGCGGAATTTATTGGTGTCGCCCAGTTTTTTTCCAAAGTGTTTGATAATTTTGCTAAACAACTGGTCCTCTTAAACAGGCAGATTATAGTTGCTGTAGACGCAGTCCCTATTTTTAGCGCATGTACTTTTTGCTCTAGGCTTGGTCGATATGGGGGATTGGTACAGGTACTAAAAGTAATTTTTTTAAAACTCACAACGTAATTTAAAACCTCTCAGCTACAAACGCTTGTAGAAAGCTTGCCTGTGGTTTGCCTGGTCCGTCCACGAATAAGAGCTTATAAGTCTGCTCTTCTCCTTCTGTAAGAATGCATCTCCCATTGATTCACACCAATAACGAGATATAACATTAGTGAGTCACATCGTGTGCTTACACAGCGTGGAACAATTAGGAATAGCAACTACTTTTATAGAAGTGCAGTTTATTTAATACTCACACACTCACCGATGTAATGCTTTATATTTTCATGTATAATCTTTTGCTAATGGAAATGAACTGGGATGCTTCACCTTGACGCTGAGGGTGAAGGTGAAGAGCGACGGCACGGCGTTCTCCTTCAGTACCCGGTTGTTACACTCTCTCTTGAAGCAGTCTTTGGTGAAGTGCTGCGAGCAGATGTTACTGTACTTTGTCGGCTTAAAGTTGTTCCTCCTCATCGCCGCCACCCATTTAGCACTAACATCTGGGCGTGCCAGAGGAAACCTGTTGAAATTAGAATTACAATTTAATGTACTTTGATCACAATAACAATTTGTTCATTCTGTAGTATTTATTCAATTCCTACAAAAGGGTTTTTAATCATTTAGCTTATCTAGCTCACTTTGTCAGCCCCTCAGAGGACATTTAGGCCCAATGTTCCCCTTAAAGTGTCCCGACAGGGACTAAACGGACGTCTCTGTTTGATCGGGTGAGAGTCTGTAAGATGAAAGTTTTCCGTCTAAATAGGGTCCCAGTTTTCCAAAGTTACTAACCACTCATCAATTTCATTAGCCACAAGTTTTGTTTAGTTTAATTTGATTAAAGTTGACTACGGCTTGCTACAATTTACTTGAAGAACTACATTAAAAATCCTTTCAAATGTGTTACCGCCCGGCTCAGAAGTGGCAACAACAGGAGGCCACACACAGACACTGTCGAGATACGGTTAGTTTTCCCTAAATGCGTTCGGGTAGTTTGGATCTGGGTGAGGCTGGTGCAGCAGGGGAGAGACAGCGGACTGGGGGGGTCGTCACAAATGTAAATGACCATTGTAAACACCCAAATCAACGCTATATAAAATGTACAGTCAGCTGTAAATATACAAAAGGAGCAAAGCTACCAAGTATGTAAAGCTCCTTTGGTATGAAAACATATGCAACTGTATTCTATAACTAGTATTTTGTTGTCCGTTTAGTCACAATGCTTTTGACGTGGCCCACGGAAATTTCATGGTCCTTTATTGTTTCCGTTGTAAAGTCGTTTGTCCCAAGTACAAAGTACCTTTCACTGCTGTACGTCCCACAATCCGTGCATTACATTATTTTCTCGACTGGATCATAAACCAGCCGTTCTCGACTGGACCTCCACCTTTCATTGTCTTTTTCATTTTTTCAGCATTGTAGGGTTCATCATCAGATTTCGTCTTGTGTTTCTACCCTCTGGGTTCCTCTACAGCTGCTCTGTGCCGTCACATCCTTCACTTGCACTAAGCGGGTCTCAAGTTTTATCAAAAGCCTCCACCGGTCAAACGTGTGTTTGAGCGGAATTCATGGTTCCATCGACTGTGGCCGAGGTCCTGAAGCTCAGCCCACAGAATGTTTGCCCAAAAACCTTGGGGGGTCATCAAGATGTTGTTTTTAGCCAGGGTGTATCTACTAAGGTGATATCCTACAAATAGTTTGATCAAATACTCGGTTCCATCCACTATGGTCCTGCCGCCCAGTTTGGGAACCACTGGCGTGGAGGCAGACGTCTCGCACAGCATGCAGAGTTCAAAGGTCGGACACGATTGGTGGTTTGATTACCACCAGTTCAGTGCTGCCACTGTGGTCAGCGGGTAATGCTGTCGAAATCCTAAATGAAATCTCCAAAAGCCGCGCCATCCTAATGCGTCATCAGACACGCTCACCTGTGTGTAGCTATTCAATGTTGGCGAGTATTGTATCAATGTGTTAAAGTCACGTCTAATCAGGATGAGCGTGTGCTGCACAGTAGTACATCGTTATAATGATCAATGTGCAGAGTCTTTAAGGGAAAACAGTGAGTGAAAAGGGACATTACGTGTCGAGTTTCCCTCATCTGTATGCCGTGTTTGAGTTTAGTATATTTAACTTGCCGGCTGTATCATTAGCCTCAGATCGACTTGACATCCGATGAATAACGTTTTATGATACAAAAAAAATACTGACAAGCGTTTATTGACTCGAGGGTTTTGAACAGGCATTAACACGCGCTACCTATTTTGTCTTTCGCTCTCGTCCCTACCAAGTGTCCTCCGCACGTTGTCCACAGACACGCACGTGCGTAGTGAAACGTACAGCCGGCTGTTCCGTTTATTGCCTCTCGAACAAAACCATGAAACCCACAGACATAATATACAGACGCCGCATTAGCCGCTACCGCCTATTGGCCCTGACGAGAAACGCAGCCGCCATCTTGGAACGGTCCTCCTCAGTGTGATCTGTTTGCAGGTGCAATCAGCTGTGAGCGCATTCAATGAATCACACCTCACTGAACTCCCAACTGATTTTCACGTGGGTTTTTTTGCTGCGAAGGTCATACATGCAGCTATGACACAGGGCACATAGTTCGGCGTATTTTAATATTCATTGTGCACTTAACAGTAATGTTATATTCTGATATATGATGGTATGTAGACTATGATAGGTATTTTGCAAATCACACACTATAATTTTGATAGAGAAGCAGAAACAGATAGTAGTAGTAAAGTCAGACATTTAATATGTTGAATGAAATGAATTGAATATTTGCAAGGACACACACACGCACACAAATAACTTCAACAGAACGCCGGGTGTTTGCACCAAAGGAGGGTCTAACACACACACACACACACACACACACACTAAAACCCCTGGAATAGGACTGTCCTGCAGAGCTTCTTTCTCGTGCTCCTTTTTGCAGTTCCAGAGTGGTGAGTTTGGCAATGTGGCGCAGCCTTAGCTTGAGAAACACAGACACAACCAATGACAACAAGTCTGAATGATGGTTGTCGATGCCAAACTGTGTCTCTTCATGTGTTCCCCAAGCAAAAAAACATCATCCGCTCCAATCTCCTCTCGGACGATGTGTGTGACTGTCGACGCCTCAGGAGCTTGTGTTGTTGGATCACCCTCTCTGCAGCTCTCAGCACCTTATAATAATAATAATAATAAAGAAATAATACATATTTATATAGCACTTTACACAGAGCTCAAAGACCCTTTACATAACAGACAAAACAAAGCAACCGTAATATACAAAGATTAAAATATTTAAAAAAAAAAGATAAATCAAACCTTGTGCCTTGTGATGGAATTACTAGGCCGCCGTGGTTTTTCAGGGCTAGAAGGTGGTAGTTCTTGTCAAATGAAGCTGGTACAGCATCTCTGACCAAAGTTGCTGAAATTGTAAATAAGCTTGTTTGCAAACCATTCTAAGGTCAGATGTTCTGTTGCCTTTATTTTAAGTGGGATGGGTATGAGATACGAGAGGTCTTACTTTTGTTGAATTACATGTGAATAATACACTGTGTTGGGCAAAAATCAGGAACTTCCCGTCTCAAAGTGATGCAGAAAAATGAGTTCATGCGTTTGTCACTTCCAGACTGGACTACTGTAATTCTTTGTTATCAGGCTGCTCTTGTAAATCTCTTAAGCCTCTCCAGTTGATTCAGAATGCTGCAGCACGTGTATTAACAAGAACTAAGAAAAGGGATCATATCACTCCTGTATTAACTTCTCTGCACTGGCTCCCTGTTAAATCAAGAATAGATTTTAAGGTACTTCTCCTCACCTACAAGGCACTTGCTGGTGAGGCACCGTTGTATCTTAAAGAGCTTGTAACACCGTATTGTCCTACAAGGCAACTGCGCTCCATAGATGCTGGGTTACTTGTTGTTCCTATGGTTTTAAAAAGTAGGCTGGGGGCCAGAGCCTTCAGTTATCACGCTCCTCTTTTGTGGAACCAGGTTCCACTTTCAGTCCGGGGGCAGATTCGGTCAGCTCTTTTAAAGTAAAACTTAAAACTTTCCTCTTTGATTGTGCCTATAGTTAGGGCTGGCTCAGGTTAGTCCGGACCAGCCCTTAGTTAAGCTGCTATAGGCTTAGAATGCCGGGGGAATTCTTAGGACACACCGAGCTCCTCTGTCACGCTCTCGTTCTGCCATAATTCACGTTTTATTAATGCACATGACTAATTCAGCTTCTTTCCCAGAGTTTTTTGTGCTTTCTCCCCTATCAGGTCTCCGGAGATCGTAGTTCCTTCTGGATCCTGGTCCTGACACCTGCCGTGGCCCTGCTGACGCCTGCTGCTGCCATCATCATCATCATCATCATCATTATTATTATTTTAGATATTAATCATATCACTGTACTCGTAAACCAACATTACCCTCTCCTAAAGTCTCTGTGCTCTCCCTCTGTACACATGACGTCATTGTAGTCGTCCATCAGGAGACGGATCCTCCTCTGACGTTCTCCCTAAGGTTTCTTCCTTTTTTTCCCTCTTGGAAGGGTTTTTTCATTTTTTGGAGAGTTTTTCCTGTGCCGATGGAGGGTTTCGGGACAGAGGATGTTGTATGTGTACAGACTGTAAAGCCCTCTGAGGCTAATTTGTAATTTGCGATTATGGGCTCTACAAAATAAAATGAATTGAAGTTGCTTTCACATTGAACTCAGCTAAGCTATGAAAGTTGTGTGGCCAATGTTATACCAGTAATAGGTTATATTTCTACAATAACATTATTGTGTCCGTTTGAATCTAAGTGTTATCAAGTCTCAGTTCATAATCAGGTGAAAAACAGCCGGGGAAGTAAACATAGCCAAGCTAGCTGACTGCCATTTCACTACAGTGAGATACTTGCTCCTTCTCTACTCTCTGGTAATATTCTTTTCACAAAACACAACAAATAGGACGGTAATATTAAATCTTACTTGTGAAAAGTTATCCCCCGAGCCCTGCTGGCGATGCTCCGCCGATTAGCGGAGAAATAAGCAGCACAGTGCTGCGGGTCCTGTATCTTCTGCTGCTACGCAACTACGAGCACGACCGCTCCAAGATGGCGGCCGTAATTCTCGCGACCAGAAGCCAACGCGGCGTCTATGTATATTATGTCTATGGTGAAACCGACGTGAAGGCGATCGATCGTGTTTACTTCCTGGTTGTTGAACGCGGGTCCCTCGAGGCCCCGCCCCCCGCACGTCTGCCTCACTCGCGCACACAAACCATTTAATTCAAAAACCAGTAGCTCACTGGTAACTTCCTGGATCAACTCCAGCTTACTAGGAAACGACTCGCTTAGACGAAGGCTTAGGAAAAAAAACTGGGAAATATCTGCATTTGTGTTTGCAACTAACTTAAGAGAATGACGTGGTACATTAACATTACTGTAGGGAACCATCAGGCGTCTCCGGGATGAAAGACGGTTATTTTGTGGTAGTTTATCGAAGTAAAGGTTGCTTGATTGGTAAAGTGATGTCCAAACGTAGTGCTTCAAATTCTGTCCCAGTTGACAAGTTACGTAAGCGAGGGCAGGTGAGTAAAAGGTGTTAAACTCTCCTCCGGCGCGACGCAGGGCCGCTAAGCTAACGAGCGCCCGTGCGTGGTTGACGTGCACTTACTTGTGGAACGAGATGTCTTTGTCTTTATGGTAGCGGTTCTTGCAGCCGTAAGCCGAGCACGTCTGAACCATCGCGGCCGCCCGGGCCGATCCTCACCAGACTGCGCGTGCACGTACAGCGCAGCGTCCACTCACGAGATTTGTTCGGAGTGATCAAATCCCGGTGTCGTCACGAGCACGTGGGGAACGACGGAGAACGGGGGGGGGCATATATATATAAAGGCTAGATGTCTCGTCCGCGTTGCCGGCCAACGGCGGCCATCTTGGTACGGTCAGCTCGCTCACCCATAACATTGTGTTGGTAGTGATACATTTACTTTTTAAATAACCATAACTTTCAACGGTTTGGTTTGTTATAAACGTCAGAGATTACATTACAGGTCATTTAGCTGATGTTTTTTTCCAAAGCGACTTACGTTGCATTTTGAACCCACAGCTTTTACATTTTTGCCCAGGGAGCAATTCGGGGTTAGGTGTCTTGCTGACGAGCACTTCCACATGGGACATGGAGCAGCCGGGGCTCGAACTGCCAACCTTGCGGTTCCTGGCGCACCCTCTCTACCCCTGCGCCACCGTCGACCGACGAGAGTTGTAGTTATGACACTTTTTATGTTCTAAAAAACAGAACAATGTTCTAAAATAGGTACAAGATTTGCTGCATGTTGAAATCCCCACCATGTGCAGAGATTTATTTATGACACTGCATACTTATGAATAATTATAATTATAACCATGGATTTTCATACGAAAATTAAACAGAACATTTCTCATAAATATGCAGTGTCATAACTACATTGCTGACGTTCAAAACAAACCAAACCGTTTAAAATGTAATTATTATGGTACATGTACCACTAACACAACGTTATGGGTGAGCGAGCTGACCCTACCAAGATGGCCGCCACGTGCGGACGTTCTATACGTAAGATATCTAGCCTTTATATATATATATCTATGGAGGCGGCTGCAGTTTGGCATCGAGATGAACTACTTCCCACCAGCAGGGGGCGATGCGATCAAACGTCTTTATTACACGGCTTGCATAGATTACCGAGTGTGGATGACGGTTACTCTCTCAAAGGGAGAAAATGTAATAATTAACCAAACAAAGGAAACGGGTGGTGCATATATACGATTTTCTCTCAAATTGTATTTACTGGTCTTGTTCACCTTAAGTAATAGCTAAAAAAGTTAATTATATTTTCTTCAACCCTCAGTGTCAAAATGTCTCTCTGACAGGATAATAAAAGATACAACACACAGGTTTATTCTTCTTCACCAAACTCAAACTTTCCATTATTACGCTTTCCAAAAACAAAGAAGTGTGGGAACAAATATGGCCACTCTCTTTTCATTTTGTCCACTGAATCCTGCTTTACCAGCCAATGATTTGTTTTACTCCCTTTATTGCATTTTTTTGTACTTTATGAAATTGTGGGTATTTATATATTGGGTAGTCCCAATTACACCATCTCTAGCATTTTTATTAAAAGGGTCTATATGCTGTTCTCCTTTAATTGTTTTTAAAGACTGAAAGGAAAACCCCACTGAGCCTTTCCAGCCACCTTTTCTACTGAATCCTCCGCTGCTTCCACTTCCTACTCTACAGAAACGCAGTAATGATCATTTTATCATAGAATGCTTCCATACATCCCGTATACAAATACCCGCCAAGAACTGTGACACAATTGTCAGGTCAAATAAAAAGTATTTATTCAAGAAAAAGCACTAAAACGTGACCTGAGCTGAGGATCCAACGGTTTCACAGTAGTTCTCGGCTCCACCCGGGAGCTTTATATTCTTGTCTATTTGACAACGTTTGGTTTAACTGTTCTTGTTTGTTGGGCTCTTGCTGGACAACAATCCAAGTCATGAATACTTTATTATTTTACTCTTCAGATCTCCCTTTTACTTGGATTATCCAAATATCTCCTTATTTACAAGCAATTTCCTTCCATCTCCCTTCTGACTCTTTTTCACCAGTTCTACAGTAGAATGCACAGATGGTCCTTCCTGGATGTTTCCTCACTCTCCTCCTTTCCCTTTGACCCCCCATGGCTGCTTCTCCACATGACATGGCAAAGCTCACACTTCTCACTGCACACACAAACTATGCCTCCGCAATCTGCATGTTTCAGCTCTGTCCCTTTGATTCTCTTTGCACCCTGCTGCAATATGTTTGTTTTTGGCATTTGCGCTTGACCATCGACCCCCCCTCAGCATCCTCGCCACCAGAATGCCACCGGTCCACCATTTCCTTCTAATGACTGCCTTGAACGCCTCATTCACAACAATCCTCCTTCCGCTCTCCCTTCTGTCCCACTTTGCAAAAGAGAATTACCCACAAGTCATTGCAATGTTGGGTTAGAAACGGGACAACGGGTGTGTTCAGACTGTCATGTCGCAGATAATACAATACAATTTTAATCATCAAATATTTAATTTTGTCACTGTTTTGACAAAGGCAGTAAATAAACAATCTTAAATGACCTTGCGTTTTGTGATGAGTAAAAAGTAGAGAAGAATTAACCACCATTGTCATTGTTTCATCGTCAAAAAATCATATTTTTGGACGTTGTCATAGTGACGTGATCTGTTGCTGTCCCGTTTGTATTTACACTATTTTCCTCACAGACTTTCACTCTCAACCACTTCATACGAGACATCAGTGAAGTCCCAGGGGGCTCGGGGGGGGGACTCGGATTGGCCTCACAAAGTCACGCCTGCCGATGGACGGAGTCGCCCTCTTTCCAGCTCAGATTCCTTTCTATCGATTGCAGCCTGAGCGCGGGTGGCGTGTGCTCCACGTGTGCTCCACACGCCACTACAACGCATCAATTCAGAGAACGAAAAATCAGCATTGTTTTCTAATCGCCCGTTCTATTAAACCGCCGTACCAGTGCGCAGCGTGTTCCCCGGGGAGCGACGTAAGACCCACTATAGCGGGGGCGTGGCGTGCGGGTCCCCTCGGGTCGGCTCCATGCCGCTCACACCGTTTCTGCTGCCTTCCAGGACTAAAAAGAAAGTCAGAGAGACAGTTACTTCTTGTTAGGTACTTGTAGTTTACAGAGCATGTTAAGATTTATTCAATTTAGTTATATATATATATACACATGTATCTGCATTGCATGTTATCTTTTGTTATTTTTATGTCTGTAAAGCACTTTGCTGCTTGATATGTGTTGTATAGATAAGCTTTATTATAATAAATCACACAAGATATGCTTTTAGATTAAACTTTCATTACAAAACACCAGACCGTTAAATATTACAATTACACAGAGAATTTGGATTTTCTTCGAGAGGCAGTAGTTGACCATGTGGGCCCGGAGCGCCATCTAATCGGACTGGAATCTAACTGGCGGGGAACCAGTCGGCCCCCGGTGGCGGAGGACAGGAGGCTGGGAACTAAACGACTGCGAGCGTTCTCATGCTTCTGTCTTTAGAACTATTCAGGAGCCCTTCCTGCAGTATCCTCTGAACACACACTGGTATTACAGCAGGTGAGGGGGGTCCGGACTCTTATTTTGGTACTTTTCTATTCTGAGTGATATTACAGTTGATTGTGAATATGCTGCTGTTATTAACAGTATGGCATTTATTTGAGCATGAAAGCTGTATATTAGCCCTGGAATAGTATTGTGACAAAATAATACAGTAGCATAACTCCTTGTTCTGTTGTCCCTTGTACTGGAAAAACATAAAATGAGGGTTAATATTATTTTATCACAAGGCATTTGAGAGATTTATATTTAAATTGTTATTTCAGAACCATAAATTTAGGGTTTGGCGAGAAACTATGATAATTGTAGCCGTAATAACATATTTTCAATACAATATAGAATAGAAATTAAAAGGTAAATTAATACCTGTTCAATGCCAAGAGTTTATATTAATCAAAGAAAGTATTTAAATAAAAATATCATTTATTTTTTATTCGTTTGAATTAGGTTTTCTGCAAATAGCCACTATGAATGGCAATAACAAAGTAAAAAGACAGTTGGTGTCGCTTTGCATTGCCTCGGGGCTGGCTGAAATGATGCCATGCAGTTGCAGTACAAAGGCGTCACCCATTTAGAAGCAATTACATTAACATTTTAGGGGAAAATTAAAATGCTGTTAGAGCTCATGCTTACCTACCGGTGCATCTATCGCTGTAACATGGGCTGTCATGACATCGAACTAGGATCAATAACAGGGATATTTAACTTTGAGATGTATAAATAAAACTGATTTTGATATATTTATCTATATATCAGTAGTTCAGCAGGGGTAGAACATTAGGAATTATAATACGATCATGTGACAGGAGTCACATCGCTGTCCCATTTCAGGGGGAAAACACACGTCACACAATGCACATCAACGACGCTGTCAAAATCCTCGTTGCATGTCAATCTTCTGTTTCTATGGAAACAAAATGTGACTGTAACTCCAGTTCAAGTGTTTTTGTTTTCCATTTGAAACGTTGCAGGAAAAAAAACAATTGAAGTTATGAGTCCTTTTAACATGGTCGAAGTATTAAGTTCAAACTGTCTGTCTTCGTCATCTTCTTCGCCTCCTACTGCTCCTCTTCTTTTGCCGCCTCGGCGTCCTTCTCCTCCGCACTGCCTGCTTCATCTGCCGGTTGATCGTCGGCGGCTTCTCCTCCGCCCGCATCTTCCTCGCCTGCGGACTCCTTCTCGCCACCTTTGACCTCCTCACCGCCTCCACCCTGACGACACATTTCAGACAGGACTTGACGGTTGGCTGCTGTTAAGCGCCGCAGGAATGACTCGTTTTCAAACAAACGCTTAATCCTTTAAGGCTAAAAGTCCACAGTTTAGTGGGCCGCGTGTGACCGGGTGTCCTACCTGCTTCAGGCGGCTCCGTCTTCGGCTCGGGACGCGGGCCTTCATCCTCCGGGAGAGCGCCAGCAGCTTGCTGTGTCTCTGCCGCTTCTTCTCCTTCTCCTCCTCGTCCCTCCGCTTCTCCTCCACTTGGTCCGAGTCGGACTCGTCCTGCGGCTGCAGCCTGCTGCGCTTCTTCGGCTGCACCGTCCTCTTCGGCTGGCTCCGGTCCCCGTCCTCGTCGTTAGTTGTGTCCTCTTCGCCAGCGCTGGAGGACGAGGAGCTGTTGTCTCCCCCCAAGAACGAGCGCTTTCTGCGGGTCACGGAACGGCTGTCGTCGCTAGAAGTGGAGCCAGAATCGCTGCGGCCCCGGGCCTCCTGCTCGGTGTCCTCCCCCGGGGAGCTCTCGAAGTCGGACTGGGACCCGGAGGAGGAGGAGGAGGACGTGAAGGAGCCTTCGTCACTGTCGTCCAGGACGGAGGCGGGCAGGCCGATCTGCCGCTTCTTCGAGGCGTCCACTTTGGTTTTCCGCATAGATGCGAACATTTTCCGCTTGTACAGGCTCTCCATGTCTGCGCGCGGAACCGGACACCCGGGACATTAAACAGAGAACCGGGCGGTGTGTAAACAAGCTAGCGGCGCAGCTAACGTCAACGTCACGTAGCTCTCATCGCCTGCGCGTCACAGCGAACGGGAGGTTCTGTTGACACATGGCGCTGTAATCTAACTACGTATTTTGAAAAAAAAATCCCGGAAACGTTCTATGTGAAATATGATTTTGCGGCTAAATAGAGGATCTCCGTAGACCTTCGTACGTCCACAGCTAGCGGTGTGTTATTGTTGTGCCCCTCACTTCTTCGCTGGAAGGAATTACGGCACCGAGTGAACGGGCGCCCCCTGCGGCCACGAGCCGCCACTACGGCTTCTTCTTCTTCTGCGCTCGGGAGTGGCGCGTCACCGCCTCCTGTCACCCGCGTGTCCAAATCGGAGTCTTGGTGTGACCTTTTCCTTTTGATTGTCAATACCGTTAGTATTTTCAAGCGGTATCAGTTATTACTCCTGGTAGATAAATAACATGTGTACAGGATCTGCAGCCCTTGGGGCAGCACTAATATATATATGTCTCTTTCTTCCCCAGCGTGTTTAGTTTATTGGAGATATGTACGTCTTCATCTGTAGGTAGATAAATGGTAAATGGACTGTACTTGTATAGCGCTTTTCTAGTCTTCTGACCACTCAAAGCGCTTTAACACTACATGACATCATTCACCCATTCACACCCATTCACACACTATGACAGGAGAACCACACACAGTGACACCTGCCATCAGTCACTACCATCCACACACTGTAGTCGCAGCTACAGGAGCAATGTTGGGTTAAGCGTCTTGCCCAAGGACACATGGACATGCGGGTTAGCAGAGCCTGGGATCTAACTGACAATCCGCTGATTGCAGGACAAGCAAACTTTGTCCAGCCAGATTCACGCCAGCATCAGGAGGTAAAAAATAGTTTCCTATTGTTGATTAGGTATTTCTTCTAATTATTTCGTCTATCTCCACTTATTGTATATTGTATTTGTTCCTATACCCCCTCGTAACTCCGTTAAACTTGAAATCAATTTAAGTCGATTTGGAGCCTCCTTTGTATGCACTTATATCTTTTTAAAAATTGTTTAAATAAATGTTGTAATCTGGTGGGACCCTTTGGCTCAGTCTGTTTACTTCACCTGTGGATCGGTGGTTGTTAAATAATTAAGCCTCCGAGGAAATAACCGAACCCTGCGGTACCAGTGGTTTTCATTTTCATTATTTTATCAGATTTTTTTTTAACCGTTTTGTTGCAAAACCAGCACAATCAAACTCTAATGAAAAGTACACTGTGTAAACTCTAAGACACATATATGTCAAACTCAAAAGGGAATTGCTGTTGCTTGCAGTTTGGGGCCTGGACTCGCGAAGGTCTGCGTGCCGTCCAACCTGGTAACCCGGAAGCTTTTCCAAATCAATATCAAGATTGCAGAGCATTAACGTCTGACAAATATTCTGGACTAAATGGCTGCAGCATCCTTATTGGGAATGAGGGAGGGAGAGACGGCCCAACCGCTCTTATTAACTTTGTTTCCAGCAAACGCAGATAGTTAGAAACTAGCTGCTGAAGGAGTTGGAATATAGGCAGCCAAAGAGCGATAAAAGGAGACCGACATTCATCACGGGGCCAGAAAAGACATAAGTGTACAACATTGCTGTGCTTTATGTGGAATTAAATGCTTTCTGACATCTTGGTCACATCAACTACATTGAACGATATGTCAGATCGGTGTATGTATCCGTTTACCGTGTCCCACTAGAGTCTTCGGGAATACAAAATCATGCAGCTTTCATTAAAAACATGCTCTCAGATTTCAGTTTGACTTTTATGGGATTACAATTTGTTAACAGGTTGTTGAGCTTTTGTCATTAAACAAATAACATACTAATAAGATTCTGGATTAATCTCTATCAGCGGGACTGAATCGGTTTATAATAAATTCTGATGAGCGCAGGCTCCCCGGGCGGTTTAGCAGCTCTGTGCCAGGAGTGTGCTCAGCTTGATCTTCCCGTCCATGGAGGCGGTCAGACAGGTGCCGCAGTCCACCGCCGAGCACCAATCCACCGTCACCACTGGCGCTTTGTGCCCCCCCAGCGGCAGCATGCTTTCCAAAGCAGGCTCCCCATTGGTCAACTGAAAGAGAGGGAGGTGCACATACGATGATGAATTGCAATGGCTGCAAAGCAGTTTCCCTCTGGATAGACCATCTCATTGAGGTTTATTCACCCTGTAGATCAGCCCTCCGCTGCTGGAACAGGTCAGAACGTGTTGCCCTTCAGAGTCAAAGGCAAAGAGTCGACCTCGAGGGACCTGAACCTGAGTAGGAAGTCATTCACACATTTAGACATCAGCATGTTATTAAGTCATGCCAAGTTTATTTGAACTAATATTCCATCAGTTAAATTTGTTGTGGCGCGTTAACACCAGCTACCTGTTTGTATCCACTGTAGCCCGACAGCATGAAGGGCCCCGTGGCGTCCTGGGGTAAGACCTGCTCCGACTGCTTCACCCCACACCGATGGATGTTCCACTGGATGAACTGAACACAAACAGATATATTGCTTCAACTATTAGAATATAATACAAAATAACACAATGCAGTATAATATAATATCATTTTAATTTTGGTCGGGCTGGTCCTGTAATCCACTTCTTACTTTGTCTTGTTTTTATGTCGGACAAACGGAAGTAAGGATTTTATTTCATTCATCACCAGAGTGCCGGAGCCTTGTGTGATTTCTTTGCCTCGTCATCGAAGGGATCGAACGTAAAACGTTCTGCTTCCAATGCATCTAAAAACATCTCGTCTCTACAGAAAGAGGCCCAGCGGTCCTCCTTCAGGTACGAGGTTGGTGGGGGGGTTCCCATGCAGAGGGGGTGTCTCACAGCACATCACTTAAATGCTCCGGAGGGGTAAAACAAACCGCGGCCAAAAGGTTTGGAGCTTTTGAAAAAGAAAATTGAACCTGAAAGTTTGAGTTGTAGTCTTTAATATTGAAAAAAATAGTGAAGAGTATTTTTTTTAAATCAAATTGAACTTTGATTCAATTTTATTGTTTTAATACAATATTTGCTTTCATTCTTCACTTATATATATTTTTATATTTGAGAAAGCATGGCGTTAAGATGAATTTGTGAATCTTGAGAAGATCGCTGCTAACGGATGTTTACCACAGATCAGCTGCTCCTAGTTTGGCCAGATGTCGACTTCTGTGCATATGCGTCGATACGCTTCTGTGCATGAGCATCAGGATTAACATTAACTTATATGTCCACACTTACTGTGCCACCAAAGCTGATACTAAAAATACAAAGCTACTATGGTTTCTCTGCAAAACAACCAACGATGTTCCAAAATAAAACACACACACACACACACACACACCTTTCCATCTTCTCCGATGCTGAAGACGGTGTTTTCATCGTAGCTGAACTCCACACTGTAAACCTCTCCGTCGTGTGCTCTCCAGCTCATGGCGCTCTCGTACCGCTGCATGTCTACGGCACAAGGCGTGTGGTTCTCATGTAAATGTTAGAGAACATGCTCGATAATGTTGGATACAAATGATCCCGAATGCATAAAATACTGACCAAACAGTCTGATGACTCCGTCAGCAGCTCCGGTCACCAGCAGGTTTCCGTTGTGGTTGAAGGCGGTGCAGTTAATAGCTACTGGTTCAGGCTCTAAAGAGAACTGGAGCTTAGGATCAGACAGACAACTGATTACACTCCATCCGCAGGAGCTGAACACCCCAAATCTAATGCTAAACATGCTAATGCTAAGATTCATTATTGTAGGTGCTCGTAGTATTTGTGCACATATTAGGCTTTTAGTCTTGCTATTTAACGTTTATCATGTTGGTGTGAATAAACATGACATGCTAAATACCAGCACGCGTTGTTACTCAATGTTAGCATATAAACATTTAAATAACAACTAGCATGGCAGCTAGCACATACGTTACAAAAGAATATTTCTTCCTCGTCACGTAAACATGAATAAATATTCCAAAACATAAACAAACACAAATGCAACAGATGTGCAATATTTCTTCTTCTTCTTCTTCTTCTTATTAGTGTATCTTATGAGGTCCTTTGATCAAAACTCAAGCTTTCAGAGACAAAACACTAATATTCCCCTGAAATCAACTTCTTTAACGTGAGCAAAGCCAAAGCCAGCTTGCTATCTAACATACACACGGAGATTAAAGCCATGATGCTCTATATCAGGGGTTTGAATTGATATTCAACAGGTTCCGTTCCTCATGCAAACGTCCGCCAGAGAAAAGAACAAAAAAAAAACGATCTGGGCCGTGATTTACAGCCAAAATACAGCACATTGAAGTTGTTTCAACATCTACATGCTGTTCAGAGGCTTCCGTGTCAGGGTCTAAATGAATCCTCATACACACGTGACGGATTCGTTTGGCCTGCTGCTTACATGCTGGCCTGGAGAGTCAAGGAAAACCGTGTGCTCTGAAGGCATCTGGAGAACCTCCAGTCTTCCCATTCGTGGAGGATGTTGCGCCACTTCCAGAGCACACGCTCACACAACGCGTGTGCGCGCTCTGTAGTAACTATTGCTGAACCGGCTGGTTAAGTACCTGCTGTTTGACGGTCTTGGTGTCCCAGAGCAGCAGCTGTCCGGACACCGGGATGGGAAGTTGAGCCGCTGAGTCGACGCTTCCGGATCGACTGACAGCTGCAGCCGAACAGACAAAGGACGAACCGCTGGGACTGCAGGCTAGTGACAAGATGCTAGGAGACAGAGCCGGGACGCGCTGTCACCGTTTGTAATCCAACAACAAACATTATTCAACACTTCATGAAAGATTTTAGTTTAATCCTCCCAGAACCAACAGGAATATTGTGCACTCATCACAAACAAATATATGAATCCTTCACACTGTTGTCTTGATCTCCACGTACACGTGTTCTGGTTGCACGGCTTCATCTCAGCTCAACAACTGGGCTGAGCTGCACGCCGCTGAAGAAAGCGGTCTGACTGTTTTGAAGAGAAATATGTACTGCATCAAACTGAATCACCGTGTTCTGATTACCGTGGGTGAGTTTCGTCGATGTTCATCTCGTAAAGGTTCTTCTTGGCATCCGTATCGTACAGCCGCACCGTGCCGACACCGCTGCCCAGTAACAACTGACAACACAGAGACCTGCCATTACCCTTTATGGTCAAGCTCCGCACGCCTCCACCCGTGACTTAAAACCAAGAACCCTTTAATATACTGATAGGGTATTTACTCAATCTGACGCTGAGCATCTCACCCACAGGGCACGTTACATAGCATTTATATACTCTTTTGATTTACAGCCCGCAATTGTCATGATTTGGGCTGACTGGCTTGTTGTCTCTTTTACTTTGTACATTTTATATATTTGGAGTTGAATTTTGTGTGACACATTTAAAGTCAGAACATCCAAAAGTAATTCAGAGCTTAAATTGTAGAATGTGTCGCAAAAACACAATGTTTAATATTTACTTTAGTCATTTCTTGAGCTCAGCAGTGAATTGATGAATCGAGCCCTTAATCAAGATACGATTACAAATAGCAATGAGCTCATGGGCCGTCTTGTTCCTACCAGCCGGTCTGGTTTGGTGGCCCACTCCAACGACAGCAGAGGAGACTTGGACATGATGGTGGCTTTGGTCTGCATGATGGGGTTGAATGACCACACCTGAGGAAGAAAGAAGGCTTTGTTATTATTTATTCATTAGTGTGCACGTTCTAAAGTAAACCCCAAAAGATATTTAATGCAGATTCACCTTAATGACTCCGTCTACGTCCAAACTGGCAACCCGGCGACCAGAACAGTCGACCCTTGAGAACGGAGGCACAAATGGACGAAAATTCATGTTTGAGGTTTAGTTTTCACTTGACTTTAGAAGCCAGTCAAGTCCACCTGCTGTTAAAATCTTCAGTTTTTCAGATGGCTTTAAATCCATGACGTGTTCGGGAACCGAGCGAGCCGGTGTACGTGGAAGGCAGACCTGCAGTGCATGATGGAGGAGTGATGCTCTCCGTACTCCTCCTGGCTGAGCTTGATAAAAGGCTGTTCTGTTGAGAGTCCTCCTCCCTCCGCTGCTCCGTACGAGCAGAGCTCGGGGGGCTCGCCGGAGGTCTCGGCAAGTGGCTCGACCTCTCCCGTCTCCGCTCTCCTCTCCGGTATCTGAAGACAACACGAGGACATAGATGAAAGAACTGTCCGAGCGATCACTAGCAACATAACGCACAACAAACTAGTATTGATCATCGATGGGAAGGCCTTTGTAGAAGTGCCTACAGGTCATTAAGGAGACGGCCTGAGGAAAGAAGCTGTCCCTGTGTCCCCGTCCCCAGAGGGGAGGCGTCTAAACAGGTTGCTCCAGTCTGCAGAGATCTTCCCTGCCCGTTTGGAGGCGTATGGGTCCAGGATGAGGGGGAGACTGGAGCCGATGATTCTCTCTGCAGACCTGATGATCCGTCGTGGTCTGTTCTGGTCCTGTTCAGTGGCCGATCCGAACCACACAGTGATGGAAGAACGGGACCGGCAGCTCCTCCGGGAGGTCCTTCTTCCCGATGGGTTGATATCCCGAGGACCACCGCAGGTCAGCGGGAGACCTGAAGGTCCTCAACAGACGCAGTACTGTCAAGAAAGTCCAGCGTCATCTCCGCAGTTTAACATGAGAGCCGCTGCTCCTCCAACGTCGAGCTGTGTGAGACTGTCGGGCCAGAAGAGGGAAAGGTTTTCACCAGCAGATTGTCTGAAGCTCAAGAGTTCCTCCCTGCTGAATGTGATCAGAGAGGAGGAGCTGGAGGCCAGACAAGTGAGCAAAAACAGAAAAGGTACGAGCCGGCCACGGCACGTTATCAGAAGCCGGTCACGGTGACCTTCAGGTTGTGTCGGGAGAGTCTGCAGCCGGGTGTCCCGGGCGAGTAGCCATATCTCAGGCTCTTGTTCATGAGTGGCGGTAAACTGGGAGGTGAGACAGAGCGGCGGCGTGTTGATCCATAAGGAGCCGCGGTAAACGCGGAGCACGCCGGAGAGATTACGTATGTCGTCAGGCCCCAGAGTTCCTTCTTCCATAATCTACAGCCGTGTAATTTAATCAGGACACATGCAAAAAAACACTGAAATATTTGGGTGTAAATGGCGCTGTAATGATTGCTGGCAGCAGCAGCTCAGTGCAGCGTGTGAGCAGCCTGCTGCTGTTCTGCGGTACCTGTGATGTGGGCTTGGAGAAAAGCTCCTTCCTCTCTTTCTCGTGCTCTTGGATTTTCTTGTGTCTCGGGTGAGATGGCTGGTTGGTTGGCTGGTTGGTTGACTGGTTGGTGGACTGGTTGGTTGGCTGGTTGGTTGACAGGGAGCTCTTAGGTTCACTGCTTGATGCTTGGCTGGAAACGGGCTTCCCCTCATTGGCTTGGAATGGCTCTTTTGACTTTGCAGGCTAGAAAAGACAAATACGTCTTAGAAACACGCAATGATCTCAGGTCGTCGTTCTGTCAGCGACTTCACTTCAGCACTCTATCATTTATAATATTGTTGAAAGCAAACACAAGGAATCAGATTCCAGGTTCCAAACAACATATATGTTCACTGTAGCATGATATATGAACGTAAACAATCTAAAGACAGGCGCTGCAGTCCAATGTAACTGCTTCGTTCTCCTGAACATCTTCACTACATTTTTTGTCAACTATACAGTGCTTCATATTTCCAGCAACAGAAACCCTTCAGGTATCACAATATTCAGCCCTACTACTACTACTACTACTACTGTTTCATGTACCACTACAGCTACTACGACTACTACTTTTTCAAAGCTTTCAAGAATACTGATAGTACAAATACCAGTGTCATCTACTCCTCCAGCTGCCAATGGTAATAATACACAACCGATACTACTAAAACTTCTACTGGCATAAGTAATGCTACTGCTTCAAACAAATAGTACTTTTACTACAAACAACACCTATTTGCTTCTACAAAGCGGCTGTGAGGTTTAATACTGTGCAAAGTACAGACAGTATTTACAAGGAGCATGAATCCGAAAGGCAGAAATAAAAGATCTCAAGTCAACCTTAGTAATGCATCATTATATATATATATATATATATACATATATATATATATATACATATATATATATATATATATGTATATATATATATATTCAAAATTGAATGCAACGTTTTCTATTAGATAAAATGACATTTTGAAGTTTTCTGTATTTTTTCTGTATTTTTTCAAGATATGGTGCCATCCTAAATGTAATCTTAATTTAAATTACTAAATGTAATCTTAATTTAAATTACTTTAAACATATCAGTGTTGTCTCTTTGTGAAACTTTTTAACTAATTGATGGGTTTAAAATTCATAATTGAGTTATCAATAATTGTTATATTTTGATATCAATTCATTATTACTTTAGAAATACTCTAAGCAACCAAACGATATCTCACATTAGTGGAACTGCAGCTGATTTTCATCTTTTTCTAAATGTTCACCCACCTGCACGTGTCACGTTTTAACTCAGAAATACCTCCTTCAAAAATAGATCTGTTCCTCGTTTTTATCCCACTGAGCCTGTAAACCGGGTCGCCCCTCTCACCTGACCGCCTGGTGGGTCCTTCCGGCCCACCGACGCCTGGATCGGCGAGGACCCGCCGGCGAACAGAGGCAGCTTCCCCGGAGTGCGGCGGCCCTGCGGCAGGAATGTTGAGAAGAAGTTTCTGGAAGGGGTGGTGGCGGTGCCGACGGGGCGCTGGCTCAACACCAAATCCCTGGGGGGGGGGGTTACAGATTTTAACCACACAGCACTTAATGTAGGAGAGAAAACAGGTTGTCCGGGTGATTTGGGGGGGGGGCTCGCCCGCCAGCAGCCTCCCCGGGTCCAGGCCCGACGTCCCGCGTTCCCACAACCATCCGGGGGGAGGGGGGGGTCACATCCGGTGACGGTGGAAACTGGCTGCATGCAGTCTGTGATTGAGCGGAGAACGGGTGGGCTGGGGGGAGGGGCATTGTGGGTGAAAATGGGGCGCGCGCATGGGGATGTTCACGGGTATCGCTTGCGGAGCGGCTCTCGCCTCACGCACCCCATGAGGCAGCGGGCCGTCGCCCACAAAGGGTCGTGCAGTACGTGCGCGCTGTGCTCGGTCCCCCGGCGTGCAGCCCGCTCTCTCACGGTGGCTTCAGGACTTCAGGCGGCTCACGAGCACATGAACGTTTGTTTGAAATCTGCCGACTTCCCGCAGTTTTGTGGCAAAGTGCGGACGTTTCACTGGTCCTTTGAGAAAGGCAACGCGGTGGTCCGTCTCTTCTCCGCTGGCTCAGATCGCTCCACAGCTGCAGCGCCGTCTCTCCCCCCCCCGTCCGAGCGCAAGCTCGCCCATTGAGCCGCAGGTTTTCAATGCTTTGTTTAGAAAATGGCCACCGACCACGTGACTAAACAGTGTACCGCTGAGCAGTGATGAATCTTTGTGCATTTCCATCTCATTGTCAGCATCTAGAAATGCTGCTTGTTCTAGTAAAGCGTATGAAGCAAAAGCGTGAACGTGAGGCAGATCCGTATGAATGTTTTGTATAGAAGACGGCTGGTTGGAGGCGGATCGTGATCAGCAGTGGTGGGGATCATTAAGTCCTCCTTCAGCCAGTCACATCACTGGTTTAGTGGTTAGAGAGGACGATGTAAGGAGACCTGGGAACCCGACGTCTTCATAAAAAGACAGAAAATACAGTTATTACGGACCCAACGCTGCTCATTATGCTCATTAATTCATTTAATCTCAGAGGGCGATATTTGCCAGTGTGTGAAAGTGGATTGCACTGACAAAAAACCACAATTCATCAGGTGAATTGTTTATTTGGCAACATCAACTGCATCACAGCACACAGTCTAAAGCAGCACTGTATCATTAACAATAAATTAGATAAAAGCGGTTTAAATGTGTATTTTGGATATGAATAAACATAAAATAATCCAGCGGTTCTGGCTGCTTTGAAGGGCTTCAACATCCCTGGAAGTTATTCCGAGATGAAGATAAAGGTTTCTAAATCAGACTGTTACAACGTCCCACGCGCAAAGAAAACAACCTAAAACCTTCTCACATTCCTCCTTATTCATCGTGCTGCTGCTTAATGCTGTTATTTCCCTTCCCTCCCTTTCATGCATCTGAACTCATCCCAATCTAATCGTTCATGTAGCAGGAGATCTGCTCTATTAAGGGGTTTTATTCCATAAAAATGAACATGTAAGAATCATAGTGAAACATTTCAAATAGAACACTAGTAAAACAAATGCAGTCAGTCAATGCGCTGACATAGAACAAGCTGACATGCCAATGAACCAATAAAACGTGTATCTGTCGTATAAAAATGAATCTTACAACGATAGAAAGACCCTTTAGGGAGAGCATATAAGATGGCTGCCGACTGTAAAGGTGCATTTTGTGTTTTTCTAAAAGCTTTAAACCGTATCTTCAGCAGGGTCACTGGGACCGGCCTTATTCAAAAGGTATGGAACAAAATAATTAGGTAAAAAGCATTCAATGGTCTTTACGTCAACACAATGAACATAAAGAGCACGGCGGCCATCTGATTTGTAGCCAGTAATAATTAAAGACAGTGATGTAAGTGTCTCACAGGTCAGTGTCTCCAAGTCGGTCCATGTTCTGGACGTATATCGGCAGCCGGTGGTGGACCATCTCGTCTACCTCCCTCTGGTCCCGACTTTCCATCTGCAGAGCAAACAGCTGCACGAGACGAGACGGGTCAGAAATATGAAAAGCCCAAAGCCAGACGTCTGAATGAAGGACGTCTGAATGCATATTAACGGTAAAACAAGCAAAAGGGCAACGCGTCTAGAACCGTGAAACGGTCCCAATCCATTTAAGCGTCACCATTAAAAGAACATTAACAGCCTTTCCACAAAAGCCCTTCTTGTCAGACCGTCTAATAACCTGTGAATTCCTACCAGCGGAACCTGCTCCTCCCAGAAGCCTCAGAGCGCTTGACAGCGTTCTCCGTAACGCGAGATCAGCTTATGCCTCATTCATTAAAGAAACAAATTAAAACAGACGGGGAGCCACAGCTCTGTTGAGCCGCGTCTTCCTTCTAGTCTAAATCTTCTACTTGATTCCAACTGGGCGGCTTAAGGAAGATTTGTTTTCAGTCCGCACGTCTCCACTGGTCTTTGTTAACAGGACATGTACCACCGTCCTTCAAGGTGGCTCAAACCGTCCTTCCTCTCGAAGGTCGCAGATCCGCTATGAGACTTTTTAAGAACTCTTAATATCTTTGCATACTCACCAGCTGGCAAAGTCGCTCGTTCTCCTCAGTCAGACTCGTTGTCTTCTGAACTTCAGCATCAAAACTCAGCAGAACAGGCTGAGGTGACAACCAGTTAAAGACTGGGAACCAGCAGGTTCAGAGTTTACATGACAAACAGACAAAGTGTGGCGTCCTTATGGGTTCAAAACATTCTAGGGGTGTAATGATTCATTCACTGAATCGATTAATCGATTTATATTCCTGCGATCCAACTGAATCGATCTGTGCTCCGCAAATCGGCATTCTGGACGACATATATCGATTACAAATCGATTGAAATGGTACATCATCGATTTGTATCGATACTTGGAAACTGCACATTGGATTTAAGCACAAAAACTGTGTGGATGCGTGTTTGTTTGTTTGTTTGTTAGCACTTTAGACACGTTAAACGTTACTGGATTCAGTCTGCCTGTCTGTGACGTCATCGGTACGCAGCGGCAGCCGCGCGAAACTCTGAACAACAACAACACACAGCGTGGAGGAGACGACTGCGAGCGAGACATTTACAAACCAACTTATCGATCCAGCACGTGGAAACATTTTGGCTTTTGCAAACACGGAAGTGTTCTAAATAAGTTGCTCGCTGTTTGTAGAATATGTAGAAGACAAATAAAAACCACGGAAACACGACGAATCTTTCCGGCCGTCTACTACGGCGCCGTGGGATTAAACAACGGCGACAGTCAGGACCTCCAGCAGCGTCACCGCTGCAGCAGGTAACTCAGCTCTGCAGACGCCTCAGGCCTCCAGCACCAAACTCAACATCACAGTAACAAGTTTATCTGTAAAGACGTGCGACCCGACAATGAGGTTGAACATCCGGGGTTCTGTGAATTGATCCAAACATTGTGTAATTATTGTGTCATTTTTACATTGAAAATGGCACTTGATTCAAATAAAAGATTAATACATTTGCCATCAATTGTTGTTTGTTTATAATATCCATAATTAATTTAAACCTGATTTTCTTACAAGAAACAACAGGGATCTCAGAAACTTTGCCTGCACTGTCCAGTAAAGTGACTGAATTGATTTAAAGTCACTAAATCAAACCAAATCGAATCTTTCTAAATCTAAAAATCTAAATTAACCCAGATCGTCCATGAACCGAATTGGCAACCATGAATCGCATTTCAAATCGAATCGTTGTTAAAATGAATCGTTACACCCCTAAAACATTCTTTACATTGTCTACTGAAGGGACATCGATCCACCGCTGAAGGATATGCATACACTGGAAGAGGACGGACAGGAAGTTGTGCAGGGAAACCAGGAAGGTGTCGGCCCACTGGCGGGAGAAGTACGGCGAGAAGGCCGGGTTCTGCTCGGGGGCGGGTATAAACGGCAGAATGAACCAGTCTCGCCACTCCACCTGACTCTGCAGCTCCGACGCCTGCTTCTGGAAAAACTCCTGGGTCTTCTCAAGGTTTCCTTTCTAGGAAGACGAAAGGACGGCGTCACGGTCTCAGGGGGGAAATTTCTAACCGTTTCAAAGACTGGTGTGCCAGATTTCTCTGCACGATGTTACCTGGATGGTGTGGATGACATAGTATCTGTACAGACTGGTCCTCAGTTTAAGGACTGTGGATCTGTAAACGTCTTCCAGTCTGCACAAAAGACGTCTGTCCAAGTACAGCCAGTACTCCTTCAGACCACAGAGGTCAAAGCTCACAACAAACTGCTGGAGCTGCTCGATGATCTTATCCACCTGCAAACAGAAGATGTTCTGGATCAAATGCAGACCTCTAAATAAAAAGCATTTCTTAGGTCTTCACATAGCAGCTGGATGCATCGATACATCGTACCCTGAAGCCTTTCTCCTTGTCGGTTTTGATGTCGTTGTCCAGGTGTTTCAGAGTGCTGGTGAAACCGCGGTAGATTAGATATTCTCTCACATGTTCGTCCGTCCTCTCTACTGCAGAGCCCATTATGACTGTGATGCACAGGAAATAATAAGATCATTTGGGATATTGGAGATATTTCTGTTTTAATTGTGAGAGGGTTAGGTTAACCCCTGGGGATAAAAGACAGTGATAACCATATGACTAATACATTCATACATGTCAAGGTTCATAACAGAAAATAACTAAAAGGAGGAAATTAAATAGAAGAGTGGATAAATACGCCATCAATACAAAAAGTCAATAGATAAAGAAGCAAAGTGAATCCATTTTCCATTTAGATTCCTGACACACGTGGGTCGGGTTAATCGTGGAGTAGAACTGTAACGTTCTCAGACCTTCTGCTCCTGTCAGGTGGAACTTACCCATCAGCTCGTGTAAAGCATGAAGTAAACGCTTCATAAAGTAAACGCTTCATAAAGTAAACGCTTCATGCTTTACACCACGGTGGCTCATTTGGATGTCTTCGCGCTTGTTTCCCCTAAAAGCTTTCATGCCAAACCCCGTAAACAATCCCACACACAGTTAAATAGTAAACAGCGCGTATTGGTGACGTCACTCAAGAGGAAGTGTCGCAAACGCTCCATGGAACGTTTATACCAATAGACATATATATGTCTATGTTAATACCTACACCAAACAAGTCATATTTAGTTATGTCTCCCAACATCCTTATACCTGCATATGTTTAAATAGCAAACGTATTGCGTTAAGACAAGAAAGGCTTTACATCGTCTCTAAACGTTTAACTTACGCACCTCGGATGATTCTTCAAGGTGTTTAGTGGACTTCCGTATATTCGTCAAACCGTCAGCCTGCTCAAATAGAATTAACCTTATTTAGATTCAAGTGACGCCTTAGCTGCTCATAAAATGTGACATGTCTCCAAAAGAAAGGGGAAAACTCTCTTCCGGGTGTATTTGTTGTCTAGTTAACAATCACATGACCCGATCCCCTTCTTCTTCTTCGTTGCTGTCCTCGTCTTCTTCGCTGTGTTTAAAGTCAGTAGAAACCACCGTTACAGGCAAACGGCCGCCACCTATTGGGCGGAGTGTGAGACGGAGTTCCGCGTTCACACGGCGCTGCATCCTCACGAAGGTCCTCTAATGAAGGTCCTCCAATGAGGGTCCTCCTATGAAGGTCCTCCAATGAGGGTCCTCTAATGAAGGTCCTCTAATGAGGGTCCTCCAATGAAGGTCCTCTAATGAAGGTCCTCCAATGAGGGTGTGTGTGTGTGAGATAAAAAAAAACCTAACGGGCTAATTAAATAACAATTGTATTTGTCTACGTGTATGTACGTGGGAATGAAAACGGGGTATTGTTGTGTTTCAAATGAGTGATGCCTTTAGTGGACCAGTGTAGAGGTTTATTGTGGTTTAGAAGGTCAGGATTATTCCAAATAGGGACAATTTGAAGGATGTCACATGTGTACAGACTGCAGAGGTCTAGACCTCTATGGCAAATTTGGGATTTTGGGCTATAGAATAATAAAATAATGATGTTGAATATAGTGGGGCACTGTGATTAACATGAAATAAGTTGATTTTAGGTGGAGCCAGTATTATTGCCTATCCCCAAAGTCCTTAGAATACCAATATATGCAAAGACCACTAAATGGTCTTTGGCAACACTTTTTTTTATCAAATAACTTCTTTTAATGGCGCTGCCTTCTTGAACTGAACCATACACCCTCGCCTCGCCTCGAGGTGGAGCAGGTCGAGGTGGCGGCGCCGGGACGCCTCGCGCTCATTGGCTGTCCGCGCGCCACCGAGGAGCCGCATAATGAGGCCGCCCGCTCCGCCGCCTCCCCGCCCCGCCCCGCTCCGCCCGCCTGGACCCCCTCGGCCCGACCCGGGGGCGCAGTGCCGCGTGGGAGATGATCGCCGCGGTGCTCGGCGGCGTCCTCGCGGGGCTGCTGGCCCTGCGCGTCTACCAGCGGCTCGCGCACCCCTTCCTCTGGGCGGACGTGGTCTACTACTGCAAGCTGCGGAGCTACGGCAAGACGCTGCGGGCGCGAATGCAGCGCGGGATCGTGTCCTACCTCGACTGCTTCCTCCACCAGGCGAAGGAGAACCCCCACAAGCCCTTCGTCGTCTTCGAAAACCAGACGCTGACGTACCGCGACGCGGAGCGGAGAAGCAACCGGTTCGCGAACGCCTTCGGGTCGGAGGGCTTCGCGAAACGAGGCGACGTCGTGGCGCTGTTGATGTTCAACGAGCCGGACTTCATTTGCGCCTGGTTGGGGCTGTGCAAAGCGGGCTGCCAGGTGGCCTTCCTCAACGCCGGCGCCAAGGCTCCGTCTCTGCGCGCCTGCCTCCGCAGCTGCGGGGCCAGGACGCTCGTCGTGGGCGCAGGTAGCGCGCGTTTCCCCCCCCCCGTCGCTTTAGCGGGACCAGACCTGCAGATAGTTTGAGGTCCTCCGGGATTTGAGCGCTTCGCTGTCCTCGTTCACGTGCACGTGAAGTGTAACTTCATACGATCGTTGGTCCTTCTGTGCAGTGTCCTCCGCTCCATCGGGACGGGATTTATCAAGCACCCGATGCCGCTCTGTGTGCTCGGAGAACGCAAAGAATCAGACGAAATGTTTTTAATCAAGTCGTGTTGCTTAAAAACAGCAAAACGAAATGAAAAGATCCGATGGACCTGAAGTCAGAAGGCAAAGTAACTAACAAACATTGTGCGTTGTCCGGTTCTGGTTCTGGCTCTGACCGCAATATTCACATATCAACAGATATTGCCTCTATTTATTCATTTTAACTGAATGGCTGGCATTAGCTGTATAGATTTATATTTGAAGCAATTGGATAAGTAGATTAGTCCATAAACTTACACACCAATTGGAAACAACCCATTTCCTATTACAGATCATTGTTTCCATTAACAATGTAATAGCTCAACACCTAATTTAGTAAATGTACAAGTAATAATTAAGTAATCCAATAAGTCATCCGCTGATGAACTGATAACCTCTGTTAAATAAGACCTCCTTGGAGGTAAATTACAATGACCAGCTTAACTTTGCACGAGTTTCTCATATTTTCCCTTCTTCATAGATACTTCCATTTTATACTTCATTTTATTTTGTATAACCCAGAATTACAAATTAGCATCTGCGGGCTTTATTCTGTAAACATGCAACATCCTCTGTCGGGAAAAGCCTCACAGCAGCACAGGAAGAAACTCCCCAACAAGTGAAAACCAGAGGAGGATTGTTCTCCCGGGATGGACGGACTTACAATGGATGTCATGTGTACAGAATGAATTACGTAATATATGTACAATGCGTTCAATTCATCTGACAGGAATGCTTAAAAAAAATTGAGAATAATAAGCAGGTGTACAGCAGGACCACTGCAGGGACCCCCGTCAGACCCGACCCGTAACCATCCACAGAAACCGGTGCTGATGCAAAGCACAAAGGCTTCAGGAGGGGGAGTCTGTGATGTTGCTTTATGGGGACCGTGATAGTAGTGTGATTTAATATTAATAATAATAATAGCAGCGGGTGTCAGCAGGGACGTGGCAGAAAGCAGGAACAGGGTCCGGACAGAACCATGATCCACGGAGACCTGCCAGGGGAGAAAGCACAAAAAACAAAAAGCAGCTGAATTAGTGATGTGCCTTTTTAAATGAGACGTCCAGGCTCACCTGAGCCAGCCCTAACTACAAGCGTTATCATAGAGGAACGTCAGTGGGTTCTTGTACTGTAAAGACTCATGTTGCGTGTCCGCCCCTGATGGAAGTGTCTTATCATGAGAAATACTCATGATAAGACATCAGTCGCACTGATAGTTGGCAGGCAAAGAGCACGAAGTACCCGGCTGGAACTCCTCCCGACCATAAACCGGTCCCATGCATCGGAATGGCTCGGAGCCCTGATTACCATTGATTAGGATTACGTACTTCTTACCTCACTACTCTGTTCCGTGGTCTGTAAATGATCACAACCTCGCACGCATCATCGGGTCTGAGGGAAAGGGAGAACGGCTAAAATGAGCACCGAGTGGAGTAAAGCGCTCCGGCTTTGTCTCCCAAATGTCGCTGAGATAAACCGTTGTGTCTTCTTGATGCAGATTTGGCCGGTTTGGTGAACGAAGCGTGGCCTGATCTGAAGGAGGACAACGTGGCCGTGTGGGTGATGGATCACACGTCACCTTCTGAGGAGTTCAACTCTTTGCTAGATAAGGTGGAAAAAATGCCTGGAGAATGCTTAAGTGATCTTCCCAAAGTGGACATCATGTCAAACTTTGTCTTCATTTTTACTTCGGGCACCACAGGTACGGCATGAGCGTTGTTTCCTTCAGTCATTCTTCATATCTACGATAGCCAGACTCTGCTCATTGGTCACAATAAGAATTAAAGGTTTCAAACATTAGGCTAACGACACTTCCAAAACGCCATATCCATAACAAAACCATTTATATATAAGACATTTATATATTGGAATGTTAAAAATATCTGCTGCCCTCTTTCCTCCAGGTCTGTCCAAAGCAGCCCGGGTGGGTCACATGAAAGCCATTGTGAGCATGTCCTTCCTTCATATGTGTGGAGGCCGGTCCGACGACGTCATCTACATCACCCTTCCGCTCTACCACATGTCCGCTTCCCTTCTGGGGATCGGCGGATGCATACACCTTGGTGAGAGACAAACCGCTCCGCAAAGATTCGTTGTTTGAATTCAATAGATTGGGAGGTTCGCAGGAAACCAACGTTTCTTTATTGGTCTGTCAGGAATTGTGAAATGGCGGAAACAAAGCGCTCCGGCTAGAAGGACTTTGTATGGACATTGTTTTTGCCGCTGTATTGTCTCGCTCTGTCCTGCCATTTCCTCTCTACCTCCTCCTTTGGGTCCCAGGTGCAACATGTGTGTTGAGAAGGAAGTTTTCTGCCAGTCAGTTCTGGAAGGACTGCGTGAAACACAATGTGACGGTGGTGCAGTACATCGGCGAGTTGTGTCGATACCTGCTCAACCATCCCCCGGTAAGGCCGACAACATTTCACACAAGGCTGGTTTTGTGAGATTAAAATCAATATTTAAATACACAACCCTGGATACGTCTGCATGTTCTGGGTGGTACAACTATGGGGCTTGTTGGGTTTTTGGGTGCTTCTTTGACTACCCTACTTTTTTTCACCATTGGGCGGGTTTCACACTTGCAAAAGGGGGTTTTATCTTGCTGGTCACATATTGTTCAGAAGAAGGAAGGGGGTTCATTGGGTGAAAGGAGCGTTGTTGTCTCAGTATCGCGTCGCTATCCTCAAAGAACTGTAAACTCTCCATTGGTAGAAAAGCTTTGAACTTGCTGAAGGCGTTCTTTACTCTTACAATCGGCTTTGGCAATTTGACCGTCCGTTCCAGTCTAAACCTGAGACGCACGCACTCATGTGAGAGGAATCTCCTCGTGCGCCTGCAGGTTCCGGAGGAGAAGACCCACCGTGTCCGGCTGGCGGCAGGAAGTGGTCTCAGGTCAGACGTCTGGAGGGAGTTTGTCCAGCGCTTCGGTCGGATCAAGATCAGAGAAGGTTACGGCTTAACGGAGGCCAGCATCGGCTTCCTCAACTACACCGACGAGGTCGGACCAATCGGAAGGGCCAGCTATTTCAACAAGGTGAGTCGCTCAGTGTCGATCCCTCCGGACATGGACCTCGCCACGCTGTATTCCATTGGATTTTCAAACTTAAATATAAAGTGTTATGTTGTAAATATTTCCCCGTTAGAACAAGTTGTTCAGCGTTTTACTCAAACCACCGACTATGCAGTTGGAACAACCGTGGTTGAAGAGTCAACCCATTTGATATTTTGTCCTGCCGTATTTACAAAGAGTCCATCACCTACATGCTCTGTCTAAAATATATTTAAATCCCATCTAGATGTCATTGGACATCCATAGGCTGTTTTTAAAAAGTGAAAACGCACAATAATCCGTGTAAAGCCAACTGACTCACACTAAATATAAGTTCCACATAAATAGCACTATGATAAAATGTAATGGAAAGAGACTTTGAGTGACAGGGATTCAATTCTCAAGGATCATTTGCCATCATGCAGCAGGGATGCACATGAAGTTCTGCTGAGGCCCATTTTGTTGTGCAAAAAGAGAATATCACTGAATACGGATGCACAAAACAGAGATTTCGTGAAGCCTGTTAGTCCGATCGTGACATCCGCAGCCGCGGCTCATCAACTCCAAACGTATGTTTGGTCCTTTGCAGCTTTCTATGCCCTTCGAGCTCCTGAGATACGATCCTCAGACATACGAGCCAGTCCGCACACCCTCTGGGAGATGCACACGAGCGCCGACCGGTAAGTGAATCAGGCGTCCTTTTACAACGTGGAAGTGGATCCTAGCTGAGTGTACTCCCTGTCTCCATCCAAAGGGGAGGCAGGGATCCTGGTGGCTCCTCTGACTGCTATGAACCAGTTCTTGGGTTACGCCGGGAACAAAGTCCAGTCTGAGAAGAAGCTGCTCAGGGGCGTGTTCAAAGCTGGAGACGTGTATTTCAACACTGGGGACCTCCTGATGCACGACCACCGGGACTTTCTCTACTTCCGTGACCGCGTTGGAGACACCTTCAGGTACCGTCGCTGCCGGTTTTGTTGGTGTCTATTTCAACAGCCACTTTGTGACCGATGTTCGGTCAACCGACACGCTGTCGACACCAAACATGCTTCTTTTCAGAGGTTATCTGTGCTCTCACCAAAGCCACCATGCTCAACCATAAAAACAAAGGAAAACGTGTGTTTGCTGGTTCACCGCTGAGTTCACCTGCTCCACAGCTGCCCTCAGCCTGAAGGCAAAGACCTCGTAATCCACACACATTAGAGACACAGGGCGCCAGTGTCCAATGTCCCGTCCTTTTTAAAAAATGTCCCAGAAAGCTCTATAAAGCTCTGCAGGGAGGCCGTGTCAGCTACGTGTTTATGGGCCTGCGGAGCTGCTTCTTCTGGCTGCCCTGCGTCCGCCAACAGTGAGTGGATCCCCTCCCCTGCCCACTCTTCCTCTCCGGGCCAAAGAAGAAGCTAGAGGGAGTGTCCATCTCTGTGATGGTCTGGATTTGGGACGTGACCTGTGCACCCTGAACTCTAACATCCAGCAGGTCGGCCGGAGTCATTTTTTGCCTTCGAGGACTTCAATATGTCCTTGATCCCCTGTGGACTCTCTAGTTCCACTACATCAGTCCAAAAGTTAAGAGAATTAAAATGCCAATAGGCACATAAGGATACAATGTTTCTAATAAAAACCAAGGATGATCAGTAAAACAGCAACACTGCACATTTTTTAATTGAGAAGAGCTTTTACAATCACTGCAGTCGACCAAGAAGAGGCTCCAGTGTGTTGAGTGTCTTCAAACACTGGCGTCAGACCCTAAACTGATGAGACGCTTTAAACCCCCCCCCCCTTATCATGTGCAATATTTGAAAGCACTCTAAAGTCCAATCTATTTTATTATTGTTAAAAAAGGTTAAACTGCATCTAACCTGGTGTCCTACAGGTGGAAAGGAGAGAACGTTTCCACCACCGAGGTGTCAGAGGTTTTCGGTCCTCTTGATTTCATCCAGGAGGCCAACGTCTACGGAGTCTCCATCCCAGGTCTGTGGAATCTGTTTGTACGCCAAGTGGGACGATCACCAAGCTGGGCCACGTTTCATACGCACCTTTTGCTCGGTTTGACCCTTCTTAAAAATCCGTTTTATCTTTAGCTTTGTTCAGCTATCATTTCGAAACACAAGGTGAGTTGTGGGCTTTAAAGCTCACAGTCAGCCCTTTGTGGACCCAAAAGGTTTTATCGTTTGCTCTTGAACGTTGAAAAATACAACAATGGATTTGGCTCCGAAGCCGCTCACCTTTCCAACGATCAGCGCCTCTGACGGGGGACCGTTGAAAATAAATGTGACTTATGATTTGGGGACCCAGCAGGGTACAATATTCAAGAGATCATTTGCACTCTCTTGAGAAATATTATATATGATATATTGATAAGATTTTCTTCACTAACAGAAAATCCTCAAAAGGGGGACGAATACCTCCCGAACCAGCTGTGCCTCCTACTTTTCGCTTTCCTCTTTTCGTTCAGTCGGACCTTTCCCCATGTGATAGTCAGCGTGTGGCTCTTTTCCAATGTGTGTGTTTAGGATGTGAAGGTCGGGCAGGAATGGCCGCTGTCGTCTTGAGACCGGATCACGAGTTCGATGGACCAACACTCTATAAGCACTTGTTAAAAACCCTCCCTGCGTACGCCTGGCCGTGGTTTCTCCGGGTCCAGGTAGGCCCTGCAGCGATTCACTACCTGCGTATGTGTTTTAGATTGTAACGTATTGTCCATTTGTTGTTCTGTGTTTTTAGACGTCTCTGGACGTGACCGAGACCTTCAAGCAGCAGAAGGGGAAGCTGGTCCAGGAGGGTTTTGATCCAGAGGTTTCCAAGGATCCACTGTATTTTTTAGATGTCTCCCAGAAGGATTATATTCCTCTAACTGCATGTCTCTATTGCGACATTGTGAATGGAAAAATCAATTTATAAACACCTTCCATTAATCCCCATTTCTAAAAAATGTTTGATTTTACAGTCCATTCAATTTAGAATGCTACATGTTTCTTATTTTCGGCAGGGTTTGGCTACGGTGCCTCGCAGCTGCAGGCCGTCTTCAAGCTTTACCGCAGGTTGAGCAGTTAGAGAGAAACTTAGAATTGTCAAGTGAATGGATTTAAAATCTCGCTGATGTTTGATGATGATGATGAAGAATCCAAATTGTGAGACTCCCCCGTTAACCGGGTCCATTTTCTGATTTCTTCACTTACAACCCGGTTTTCCTAACTGTATTTCAATCCATAAAAACCAAGGACCAAGTCTGGACCACCACCTCACAGTTCGCCTTCTTCAGGGAGCTGTTTTTTTTTTTTTTTTTTGTTTTTTTTTTTTTTTTCTCAATGATTCAATATGGTAGATCAGCTCCTCACAAATATATATAACAAGAAACTCTATTTAGTTCCTTGTTGAAAGAGGATTCAAACTATTTTGACCTATAAAACCGCATTCTTCTTTAGTTACGTGGTCAGTGTGTTTTCAAACCGCCTCTACTGAGCTCGACTCAGTAGTAGAGAAGAGGGCTTCTATTCTCTGTTTGACTAGAGTCTGTTTCAATGAGCTGCTCATGCAAACTCAACATATTCAGTACTAATATTCTCACCACTCTGAGGCTCGCTTTGCCTTTTTACAGAAACAATGTTTATACATATACAATCCATATTTCCATTTCTACACAGCCTGCAAACGAGACGTTGCATAGATATGACAATTTGTCAAGTTAATAAACTATTTTGTATGTTTTTTTTTTATCCAAAGCGACTTACATTGCATTTTTAACCCATGGCTTACATTTGGCCCGGGGAGCAATTAGGCGTTAGGTGTCTTGCTCAGAGACACTTCGACATGGAGCAGGCGGGGTTCAAACCACCAACCTTTAGGGTTCCAGTATTCCCTCTCTACTCCATGCGTCGCCCCCATGACAGGACTGTTGTACAACGATGGAGTTAGAATTACTTTTTTGTTTCGTGCCGAGACATTTTGGTGAATTCATGCCACTTGCCTATTAAATTGACTTCAGTATTAATTATATTGAAGTTTAAAGAGATAAACTGTTCTCTACATAAAAGCGTTTATGCAGCAAGTTTAAAACTTTGAAACGTTGTAAAAAGAAACTTTTTACACCCCAACGTGGACAGTTTGTTTTCTTCTTGTTTTGTAAGTGAATATCTTTAATTTGAACATTTTTTAAATTAACCTGTGATTATTGGACTTGAGTCTGCAACTTGAGATACATTCACAAACTTTGGATTACAGAAATGTCTGTCTGAGAGGAAATGTTTCAATATTTCAAGTCAAATTTCCCCATGTGCTCCATCTTTTGATAAGGGACATAATTGATCAGTTAAATCTTAATATAGCTGCTCAGTTGATAAAATACTAAAAACTAATACTGTAAACATTAACCATAATAGAAATGATGTTTGTATAAGGTATATTTTATTGGACATGTAGATGAATTGCTGTATGACATTTTTACAAAATGAAATAAACTAATAATAACACATCTAATGTTTTGTAAATTATTAATCATTCTATGCACATTCTTAGTCCCCAAATAATCTGTTACACCTTCACAAAGTATAATTAGTACAGTTAACATGAGTAAGACTTTCTTTCCATTCTCTATCTCTTGACTCTCACAGCCCAGCACGCGGCAGCCGCCAGGGGTCACGTGGTTGGAGAGTCTGGCCCTTTAAGGAGTGCCGGTCCGGGCTCTCCCGGTCATGGGAGGAGTCAAATGTCGAGCAGACGTGGCAACACATGACGTAATCAAAGAGGGTCGTTGGTTTGTTCTGGGAAGCGCAAAGCTACTTCTGCTAGCAGGTGAGTGGGCGAGATACTTCACCCGGTGGTCCGAAGAGAACCGCCAGGTGCTCGCTTCTCACTGCTGGAGAAACACACACAACTGTGACGTCGCCCGGCGTTCCCACGTCGCCCTCCCGCTACAGCCGAGTGTGTTTGTGCAGGTGTGACGTCAGAGGCGCAGCGCGCGCGGCTAGCTAACGATGAACCGAGTGAAAGCGGTTGTATTCATTGGTTTCTAACAGACGCACGCGGAGGCGACACCTGTAGTCGGTCTCGGTCAGAGACGGGACGCGTGAAACGACGCTGAGACGCTCGACATAAGTTGTCGGTGTCACCGGGAGCGACGTGGTTGTCGAGTCGGCGTCCGCGTTAAAAGTGACCCGCCGGATCGCGCAGGAAGAAGCAACTAAGTTCTTCGGTTCAAGTCGTCCTGCAGAGCGCTTTCATTCGTTATTAAAATAAATTACACACAATTATGTGGTAATATCTCAGGTTCTCTATAATATATTTTTGTACGTGTTATTAATTAATGCTATTTTTATTGATATTAATAGTATGCTGTGCACCAATACGACGCCGCTCTATGCAGGTGAAGTCTACTTGGCAATAAAGCTGATGGTGATCCTGATCATTTATCCGTCTTCTTCTGGTTGGAAGTTGTCGGTTTTGAGTGTAGGTGTTCGGCAGAGAAGATGATGGAAGAGAGCGGCATAGAGACGACGCCTCCTGCAAGCCCTGTGCCTCCTCTGACGGTCAGCGCCCCGCCAATGACCATCGGTAAGCTCCACCAGCACACCGGGCAGGACAAACGGCCAAGCAGTTGATTGAATATCTTGTTTTAAATCTCAAAAGACTAATCAACCTTCTAAACATTTGTTTTTGCTGCAGAGTAAAAAAAACAACATCCAAAATAGTAACATTATGATTGATTGAACAATGATTCGTCTTTGAGCACAGATACTGACAATTAGCCTCTGTCCAAATATGTGGTCAAGTCACTACAATATTATTATTATTAAAGCTTAAAGAATTCAGCATAACCGAGGGTTGACTGAAGACACCGTGTGTTCCAGGACTGTCCGGCACTCCGTCCCTGCCTGGCACCTGCTCCGTCGGCTCGGCCTCCGTCTCCACCAGTCTCACCCCTTTCAGCAGCCCCCTTCCCACACACCCCTCGCTGTCTTCCACCCTCCCCCCTGCCTCTACCCTCGCCTCCCCTTTCACGAGCAGCTCCCCCTTCCCTCCCTCCAGCTCCCCCTTCCCTCCCTCTAACTCCCACTCTTTAGCACACCCGGCCACCTCCATTGGACCCCCTCCTTTTTCGGCCCCTTCCCCCGGCCCGCCCGGGTCCACCTTCCCCTTCCTTCCTTCCACCTCCCCCTTCCCTCCCTCCAACTCCCCCTTCCCTCCTCCCACCTCCCACTCTTTGCCACACCTGGCCGCCTCCATTGGACCGCCTCCTCTGTCGGCCCCTCCCCCCGGCCCGCCCGCGTCCACCTTCTCCATGAGTGCAGGTTATGACATCACGCGGGGTCATGCCGGCCGAACGCCACAGACTCCATTGATGCCGACCTTCTCCGGTCCGACCGCCGTGCCGGGTAAGCGCTTGTCTTTTTCTGTAACACACACGGAGCACAATTACCAGTCACGCCAGTTTAGTTGGTAAATGTATTTTCCAAACCGGTATTCACACACATACGTATGTTTTATATTTGCTTTGGTAAAAATAAAAAAGCAAATGATGCCTTTCAGGTATCGTGCCGGACCCCCTGGTGCAGCAGCCAGCCATGACAGGAGGATTATCTAATACAGGGTCTCCCATCACTTTCCCGATGGAGCAGGAAGACCCCCGGGGGCCCGAACACACCAACCCGGGTGGAGGCATCTGGGGCTTTTTTAAGGTAATACCGCCGCCCTGCCGACGTAGAATACATGACGTGGGGGATTGTTCTCACTTCAGTGGCTCTCAACAGGGTGACGGCCAGCTGGCTGTAGTTACATAGCGAACAGCAGCTGAAGTGCTGACCACACCAACAGTTTAGCTGTGTATAAGGGCCCCAAGGGGTAGTTACAAAAGTCCAACTCCCAACAGCAATATCGTGTAATCATCAAACAAACGTATGAATGCTTCACATCGTTCGAAAGGTTCTTGGCTACAATATTCACTTATGCAGGGTTTTTTTTTCAGCCAGTCTTTACTCTCCAGCGTCGTTTCACACTCTACCCATTTGGGGTTATGAGTGGCTGAGGAAGCTGTCAATCATTTTCACGTGGGGTTAGTGGGATCCAATAGGATCAGACGATTCGAAAAAGTGGTTGAGAGGCATGACATGGCCGGACAGAGCCGGACGTGGTTAATAGTGAAACGGTGTGATTGTGTCCTCGTGCACTGTCCTCTGATCGTCTGTTTCGTCTGCGGGTCCTCAGGGAGTAGCAGGTAACACTGTGGTGAAGACGGTCCTGGACAGAACCAAGCACTCCGTGGAGTCCATGATCACCACTCTGGATCCGGGCATGGCTCCGTATATCAGTGAGTCGGCCCGCCGTCTCCTCCGCTTTATCCCCGAATGAAACCCGCTGACCGCCGTTTGTGTCGTCGCTCCAGAGTCCGGCGGGGACATCGACATAGTGGTGACTTCGGACAAGGAGGCGAATGTGGAGGCAGTCAGAGACGCCTTCCAGGAGGTTTTTGGGATGGCCTTGGTCACCGGAGAGCCCGGTCAGTCCAACATCGCCCCACAGCCTGTGGGCTACGCCGCCGGCGTCAAGGTCCGTTCCCCTCCTGCTTCTCGGCACGTTCACAACAGAAAGACCAGCGCAAAACAAACCCAGTCCTGTTCCTCTTCATCCTGAGGCCGCTCCAACCGGGGCGAGCTGTCTCCCAGTGTTTGAGGAACTGGAACCTTGTTCCAATTTTGCCAATTTATTTTCCTTAGCTATTAATCTGTGTTCCTGCTACTATTCGAATAATAAGAAGTTTCTTTTGGCGGATTGAGGGTCACTTTGTACGCCTTTTTATGCATTTACAGGTCGGGGCCCCCATCGGTTCACCCTTCACTCGTCCTAAAATATTTACAACATCCTAAACCACCAATTCTATTTGAGCCTGTTAGTTGATTCTAGTCAAGCTGATTCTGAGTGTGTGCGTGCAGGGGGCTCAGGAGCGCATCGACAGCCTGCGCCGAGCCGGTGTGATCCATGAGAAGCAGCCGGTGGTCTCTTTGGAGAACTTCATCGCCGAGCTCTTTCCTGACAAGTAAGAACACAACCTCAAACCCACACACAGCCTGGTTCTCCCTTCCAAAGCACGCACAGGTGCACGCGTGCAGCAGTCCCCCTCAGCGACGGCCCGAGCAGACAATTTTTGTTCTTATTATTTTTACCATGTTAAGTGTTTTGAGTGCCTTTAACACTTGCACACTTTTAAAACCTGGCTTGTTTGCAATACAAGCAAAGAGAAATCCTGTTTATGGATCAGTAGCACTTAGTCGTTCTTTCTGGCCTCCGATGACGTCTCGGCGATGTCACTGGATCCAGGAGGAACTACCCATTTTTAGAAGAGCACAACATGGGCATCTACAGGTGTGGTTTTTCACACTTCGCCCCTGAAGCTGGGTTCATGGTCTCTGGTAAAGGGAGAAAACAACGTGGTGCCGGCCGGGCAAAGCACCTGAATTGTCCATTTCTACAAAAGCTTTATAGGAAGGAAATGATAAAGAATGCAGACGATTAAAAGGCCAAACCCTTCTGTTGTGTCCAGGTGGTTTGACATTGGCTGTCTGATCCTGGAGGACCCTGGTCACAGCCTTCGCCTGGAGGTCTTCACTCAGGCAACTCCTGTGGCTCTGGATCACGTCCAGCAGGTACAGATCACACCCACCGTCATTCTAATCACCTGGTGGCCCTTGTGATATTATTAGTGTTCTTTTGGGGAACAATCTCAGATTACCTGCAAAAAGGACGTATTTTCATCAAAAATAACCGATTTGTGATGTTCAGGCACTTTGAACATGTTTAGTGGAACCACGCAAGGTTTCATCCACTGTAGCTGCAGCTTTGACTTGAGGGTCTGAACCTCCTCTCCTCACCGTCGGTTTCCTCCGCTGTGCAGGCTCAGTCCCTGACGCCCGCTGACTACAGCCTGCGCTGGTCGGGCCTCATCGTCACGGTGGGCGAGGTCCTGGAGCGCAGCGTGCCCAACGTCAACAGGGCGGACTGGCACCAGGCCGTGACGGGCGTGGCCCAGCGGCACACCATCCAGGGCGCGGCCAAAGCCCTGGCCGGCCTCTACAAACGGAAGCTGCCGCCCAGGACTGTGTGAGGCCGAGCGGCTCCAGTGTCGCGCGCGTACTGGGAGGAATGGGGCGGCAGGGTTCCTCCACCTGTCCTGCTGTGGCGAAGCCAAATGCACATTTCATTGGAAGTTAAAGTTTCTGCTCACATCCCAACGTGTCCGCCTTCGATATTAAGCTTCCATGAAACAAACTAATCATCTCGTTACTCTCCTTATTATTTACAATATTGTGTATATTAATTTCCACAACCGTAACCTTTGTCTAGAGGGGGAATGATACTCTGTTGGCCGTGGTACTCGAACGCGTTACCTGCTCACCGTTTCTCCTCGTTCAACCACTTGAATCATTTTCTCCACAGAACAAGTCTTGTGTGCTGAACAATGAAGCCTCAGCACGCCGTCTCAAAGCTGCGCTCTTTCTACTGATAGAAGTCTTTGAGAAAATGACTCTCCTGATTTTATTCCCTCAGTAAACATGAGTTCATGGTCTCAGCCTCTAGTCTTCTTCAATACAAGCGGATGTTCATTTAGTAAATGACATTTACAGTCAAACACGGACAACGTTGGGAGCGAGTTCATCAGAGTGCTTGTCATTTTTTTGGGACGGGGCTTAAAGAGATGGGCACTAAAACGCAGGGTGATGACAGGTACCTTTAGAGAGACGGTATTAAAGCCACTAAACACTTTTTACCAGCCCAAAATACAAAAAGGAATCTGAAAATAAGCATAATATGTTGCTTTTACAGTTGGTCCTAATTGTAATTCTAATTATGTTACTGTTTTTATTTCTTTTTGTAAATAACTTTTTATTTGACGGTTTTCAGCAGTTGGCTCCTTAACCAGCCGGAGGACCCGGAGGCCAAAACTAGCCGCTGGGCCTTTGTTAACTCTGTATTCTACGCTTATTGCCGATGCCACAGGTAGAACATAGTTTTCTCTGTGGTCATTTGATTTACAAACTGTAAAATAATAGAGGTACTTTCATTCCGTTCAGATTTTCGGGGCCCTGGAGTCTAAGCTCCTAAAAGCATGGACTCTATATACTATAAGTTTGATCCGGCCCAAATGGTTTCCTCTGCCGGAGGATGGAAGTAGTCTCTCCTGCACGCTGCTCTTTCTTTATATATTCAGTTTAGTCATTTCCCCTACTGTCCATCCACTAAACCCGTTCAGGATCAGTACATCCTGTGCAACTGGGACTACAAAGGTCCGACGGCTATATGACATCACGTTTTACGTAGAATCGATTCAGTTTTTAAGCATTCATGGGTTCTGGCTTATTTTATTTCAAATATTTGCTGTTGTGTGCATCCCCTCGTTGGGTTGTGTTACCCATGAGTACTTGCAGCAGGATGATAACTGACCTGTGATTGGATTCATTTATTCTCTGCTCCTCTGGCAGTTAGAACTCCATCAGTACCAGAGGTCCTTCACACAGAAGCCTAAACACCGTAATTGTTCTTCTCTGTATGTGGCTTCTCCTAAATGTGCCTTTTTACACAAATAAATAAGTTTTAAATCCTGGTTGGTATCAATGCTACATGTTATTCCACATCAACTTGTAAAGATGGAATTTCTATTTTTCAGAGATTTGGAAAGACTACTTTATGGTTCCCCTCTACATCGTGCAGCACTGGCTGCATGCATTCTAAACTAGTTTATTTGTATTTAATATCAATGTTTCTCATTTCCATATCCGGCCCATCTGCAATCTCCCTCTTCTGTCAAAAAATACTGGAACGTCGCCTCTCAGCTGAAAACCCACCTCACCTCCAATAACCCGTACGAACCATTTCAATCAACACAGCACTGAATGATCTCCTCCTCTCTCCAGACTCCGGCCACCTCAACGTCCTCATCCTTCTTGACCTCACCGCAGCCTTGGCCACCATTAACCACTATCCTCCTCCCGCCTTGAATCCACCATTAATATCACCGGCTTTCTCAAACGGAACTGTGACACAACAGACTTCATCGTCGTCGGTCCCAAATCCCTCACCAAAACCACCCATAACCTCACCATCAACATTGAAACCTCCACTCTGTCCCCCTCCCTCACATCCGTAACCTCGGCATCATCTTTGATAGTCGCCTCACCTTTGAACGCCACGTCAATAACATCACCAGCATCCACTTTAAAATCCTTCTCCTCACTCACAAAGCCCTTCACATATCAATAAAATGTATTATTTATATGTTGTGCCTCCATAATTTCAAGGAAAATAAATGTTATTGTTGTAAAAACTGCAAATAAAGTGTGTCATGATATCAATGAGGCTAGACTACTCAAGGGCTTTGTTACCCTCAGCTGGCAGACAAGGCAATAACCTCTTGAGAATTTTTCTGACAGTTATTAAAAAAAATTCAGGACCACAGCAAAGATGTTGCCTTCTTGTCAACAGGTGGACAACCTAAGAGCTCATAAGCCCTCTGGAAGTGAACTCCCCCACTCGCGGTCTTAAGCTGTCGGTGTCGAGAAGGAAACTTGACGGAGTTATGACTACATTTAAAAACACCACATTGGTTACTCAGATGTGATAATATATATTATAATACAATATTTATATTGGTCCTTTTAGTATCGTTTCTGTTGCTTTTAACAGTAGTCTATGATCCCAATGTCCCAACGATGCTGATGTGTTATGTTAATAATTATTTGATTATTACATGCCTTCCATGTGGAAGTGCCGAGTGGACCGCTGAGGAGACCTGCAGCCTGATCGCGTTTGGTGTGAAAGCTGCTTTAACGTAACGGATAAACGATGACACCGCCAACAGATTCACTTTCAAACTCAAACGCTTTCTCATCTATCAAGGTCCAAATATTGTTTTGTTGAATCATTTTTTTAATTACGGCATGAAATGAAACAGCGGTGTTTAAAAAGGGACGTTGAAGGAAATTAAAAGCAGTAATACAATTTATAATGTGATTACAGGAAACGTATCAATATGATATAAACTACATTGTGAACGCACTTGTACTGCGAAAGATTCCAGATGTTAAATCACTCAACACACAAATACCTAGAAATCCAACGTTTTCACAAGGAAAGTATGTTAGTATAAGGATCCTAGTAGCCCCATAGTGTTAAAAAATACATTGATTTGAATTATTCCCAATAAAAAACTAGTGTGTGAGTCGTGTAAAAAAAGATGATTTATTATTAACAATTACATTGTATCCCAACTTTCCTGTTTTTAACATATCTACAGGGTGTCATAATCATGTGATCATCACAAAAATGTAATTCAGCACATTCACACATCGTAGTATGAGGGAATTTCACCATTAATTCAACCAAACGTTAGAAACGTTTCAGTTTCGTCTTTAGTTCAGTTTTTCTATGTGGCTTGTTGGCCTCTTTAGACGTGTAACACTCTGCGCTCTATTTAAATTGTAAATTGATGATACTGCTTTTCCTGCTATGTTACTGTCCCTCTCGAGCCATTGTCTCAGTGTCTTACTGTCCAATGTTACGCACCAACCGCCATGTCAAATTCCTCGTATGTCTGACATACTTTGGCAATAAATGTTCCCGATTCCTGATTCGTGAAAAGGACAGCAGTACAAAACAATTTATTGGATATTTTTATATTTAACTATATTTTCAGGATGGTAATAGCTTTATAACTATCATGTCAGCCTTTTCTATAACATAAGACACTACGGGGAACATTTAAATAATAATAATAATACATTTATATAGCGCTTTTCAAAGTACTCAAAACCGCTTTACGTGGTTAAAATAAACATAAAACGAATACACCATATAAAACCGAGCAATAAACAATAAAACGGTTTCAAAGGCAGCCGTTAACGGAGAAGTAAGGAGGCGCTTGTTTTCCCACCGGGACACTCGGATTATTCAATGAACGGTCAACCGCTGAACGCGGAAGGTTTGGAAAGGCTAATGTAAATTGACCCCGCCCACTCTGGACAGTTCCGGCACATGCTGGTCGCTTTTCCAAGTGAACCCAAAAGTTAAAGTTGAAATAACGCATTGCGTCGAGCTTCGCCATTGGCTCGTTGTACGCAACGTGAAATATCCAATGAGCCGCCATATTAGGAAGCCGAACCTCTTTCATTCGGATAAGAAAAGACGGGACCTGCCTTCACGACAGTTTTTCATGCGTTCCGGTTGTCTTTGAGCGCCATAATCAAAACTATTTGCGCCCGTAACATCCGTGTTTTCTTTGGTTACCGTCTTCCACAATGGCCACCGCAGCGGCGACCCCGACCGGCCAGAGGAGCACGTGCGGCAGCGGCACTCCGCTGAGCCCGAACAGGATCACCCGCCTGCAGGAGAAACAGCAGCTGCGGGACCTCAACGACCGCCTGGCCGTCTACATCGACAAGGTCCGCAGTCTGGAGTCCGAAAACGACGTGCTCCACCTGCAGATCAACGAGAGGGAGGACGTGAAGAGCCGGGAGGTGAGCAGCCTGAAGTCCCTGTACGAGAGCGAGCTGGCCGACGCGCGCCGGAGCCTGGACGACTCGTCCCGGGAGCGCGCCTGGCTGCAGATCGAGCTGAGCAAGATCAAATCCGACTATGAGCAGCTCCACCACAGGTAAGCGCGCGCCCCGTAATCCGGCTGCACGACACGGACACGGACGTTAAACCCCAACCGCTAACTTGCTTTTGCGCCTCACTTTGATTTTCGAGCCACTTTTGCCACATTAACGTAACGCGGGTCACGTAAGCTCGTGCGGGGGGGGGACGTCACGTGTGACGGTCCCGGCAGCGCGGAACTCAAACTCAGCCTATAAATGTGTTAACGTTATTACGCGAGGTTTTATTGTCCTGCAGTTTGCTTTGCAGCCAGCAATCAGTCATTTGTAAATCCGTAGCTTACGTTTTAAAATAATGGTTTAAATAATAATAAAATATCGACAAAAAAATGACCCCACCCGTCCTCCATTGTCTGTTCGTGAAAGAATCACAATGTGACGTTTACCACATATTTGCTTGAATAAATTTCATACATAATGGTAACAACCTGTTTAGTTCATTTGTGAAATTGACCTGCTGGTTAATTAAGCTTTACTAAGTTCTTGCTTTATCTTAAGCAGATAAAGCAAGAACGTTCATTGAAGGTGACATGATGCCTTCAGGGTCTCCTAGTAGTAGTATGCATATCCTCTCAGAGTGTACTGAATCCCAGGTACACATGTATAGTACACACCAGTGCAGTTGGGCCTGAGAACAGCTGTAGTGTGTCAATGGACACACAAAGCACTGTGTGTGTGTGTGTGTGTGTGTGTGTGTGTGTGTGTGTGTGTGTGAGCACAGGTGGCAGGAACCGCCTGTTCGAGTCCTTCTGCTGGTTCACGTAACCCGTTGGTCCACTCCATCTTGATTCCTGACGCGTATCTTGAATGTGTTTTGTGTCTATCTGGCTGGGGGGGGCGGGGGGGGGCATCTGTAGGTCATGATTAAGGGGGCAAAGTCCACCTCCCTCCCTCACCGTAATGTAATCATTGATTGAGGGTGTAATTTAATCAGCAGAGGTATAGGAACTGGCGTGGTTCCTGTGAAGGGAGCGCCTGTTTGCTTTCCCCGCTGATGTTTCCCCGGATACTATGAAAAGCTCTGCTGCATTCCTCTCATAGTTTGTCCACTTCCGTCCAACCCGCCCCTCGTCGCCCTCGTGCATACCAGCTAATAACTGGCCCCCGTCCCGGCACAGCTCCTCCAACACACGGTTAACTCTGGTGTGCGTGTCTATCCAGACACACCCTGACAGGCAACGTTTCTTTCTACATTTTTAGATTAATATCAGAGACACCAAAGCCATGAAGGAACTCTCATGGAATTCTGTGGTAATCCGCGGTCTTAGATTCTTAAAGTATCCCCCGTTTGCTTTGCACACTCCTGGCATTCTTTAAATCGGCCTCATGACGTATTCACCTGGAATGTTTTCCACATCACACACACTGCAGTGTTTCCCCGTGGTTTACAGCTTCAGGGGGGGGCTTCAGTCCGCTGGTGCAAGCGTCACACGGACATATTTGCACACCTGTCATCGTGTAAACACAGTGAATGGGGATATAATATTCTACACCTTTTGTCGTGGGGGTAATTTTAGGATTTGGAGGTGACCCACAAGCCCCTGTGTGCGTGCCGCGTTGCAATGCCGTTCTAATGCTCCCGCCTTCCTCCCTCCAGCTACCAGAAGAAGGACTCTGAGGCAGCAGGCGCGCAGGCCCGGCTGAAGGACCTGGATGCTCAGCTGAACTCCAAAGAGGCCACGCTGGCCACGGCGCTGTCCGACAACCGATGCCTGGAAGCCGCGCTGGCCGACCTGCGGCAGCAGCAGCAGGAGGTACTGCGCCGCTGTCGCCTCACTGTCAACGCTTGTTTCTGTTACTTTAACAAGGACTTATGCAGCGTGTGCTTCTTAAGAATATTTTGTCTTCTACTTGAACCAACTAATGGTGATTGTCTGTCTTTGAGACTTGTCTTTGACTGTGGTTTCTGTGCGATGGCAGCTGGATGCGGCTCTGGCGCAGACGAAGAAGCACCTTGCAGACGAGATGCTGCTGCGCGTCGACTTGGAGAACCGCTGCCAGAGTCTGACGGAGGACGTGAACTTCCGCAAGAGCATGCAAGAGGAGGTGAGAAATGTGGAGCCGGCGAACGAGACTCGCTGAGGCCTCGTTTACTGATGGTTTAGTTTAGTAACGTATCCAATCCTCGTGCTCGATCACAGCTTTGTTGCTGCTTCAAAAGCTAGACAACCAGCGGCATTGATCGGGGAACATTTCATCCTTCTCTTTTAATGAGCTGAATGCTGGCGGTCTGTTTCACAGGAAGTGAAGGAGGCCCGGCAGCGCTACGAGACTCAGCTGGTGGAGGTGGACTCTGGCCGCAAGGTGGAGTACGAATATAAACTGAGCCAGGCCTTGACGGAGATGAGGGCTCAGAATGAGGAGCAGATCAAGCTCTACAAGGACAACATGGAGAGCACCTACGTCACCAAGGTACACACACGTTCTCCCTATGATGATAATAATGCATTCCAGGTGTGCACCGCTGGAGGAATTTTGACTGTTAAAGAGATACTGCTTCAAATAGTGCTGTTTGCAAACAACTCTTTAGTTTCTCTTTAGTGGCTGTGCAGATTTCCCAACAAGCATTTGCACCGTAACTTTAAAAAAAGCTAAAACCAGAGATCAGTGTCAAAATCCTCTCGCTCACCTTCTGTAATTGGCCATCTGTTGACATCACCCAACACAATATGCTGGTTATTGTGGTTCGTTTGTGTTTTACCACTGTAGCCGCAAGACAGGCAGGCGACCAGGCAACACACGCCTTACTGAACTTCCTGCATGTCAGGAAGTGGCCAACGCGGCTCAGTTCCTCTTCTAGGGTGCGATGAGGAGGAAACTGTTTACGTTGACCCTCAAACTGTGTCGTCTACAGCTGGAGGACTTGCACCGGCAGTCTGAGATGAACGGAGCGTCTGCCAACGTGGCCCGAGAGGAGCTCAGAGAGTCCAGCCTGAGGATCGACAGCCTCACCGCCCAGCTGGCCGCCATGCAGAAGGAGGTGAGCGCTTACTTTCACTCGCTAACCTTTTATGCCTTGTTTGAGTGCGGACGTTCGTCCCAAAGTGAGTTTTTTACTGCTAGTCGGCGCTCTGTTTATTCAGCTTGCCAGAATCTCCCAGTGATGCCGTGGCAGCATCTGGATTGCTGTTCTCTCTGTGATGTTGTGTGACATCACAATCTTCATCCTCCCACTGGTTGAACTCACTCTGATGGGCTTTAAATGTGTCACTTTAGTACAGTATTTGGTCCATCATTAACACAAACATTCACAGGATTATTTTATTAAAAGCGCAAAGCCTCCCCGTGTTACGTTTTCTTTAAAGGATGGCTTACTTTGCACGACTCAATTAAATAAAAAATAATTGCATGTACCAGTAAGTATTTTGAGTGCTGCGCGGTTTCCTTTTTCATCGGAGCATCAAAAACTTTGTGGATGATAACGCTCTAACTCGCTGCTCCACCTTCAGACTCGTGGGTGGCGCGATCGCATCGTGGAGCTGGAGGGGTCGCTGGCTCAGGAGAAAGACAAGAGCCGCAAGCTGCTGGCTGACAAAGACCGCGACCTGGCCGAGATCCAGGCCAAGATGCAGCAACAGCTGAACGACTACGAGCAGCTGCTGGACGTCAAGCTGGCGTTGGACATGGAGATCAACGCCTACCGCAAACTCCTGGAGGGAGAAGAAGAGCGGTGAGCAGCCTGACCGTGTGCACGCAGCTCCTCCGCCGCCTGTGCTCCGTCTAACCGCCGCGTTCCCCCCCCCGCAGACTGAAGCTGTCCCCCAGCCCTTCGGCTCGCGTCACGGTGTCTCGAGCTTCGTCCAGCAGCCGCAGCGTGCAGACCACCAAGGGGAAGAGGAAGCGCGTCGACGTGGAGGAGCAGGAAGCCAGCAGCTCGGTGTCCATCTCGCACGCCGCCTCGGCCAGCGGACCCGTCTGCATCGACGAGATCGACACAGACGGCAAGTTCATCTGCCTCCTCAACGGCGGGGACGAGGTGAGCTGACGGATGCAGCGTGTTCCGTTTGGGGTCCGAGTCTCCAGAACACCTCGGCTACTTTGCACGACTCAAAGAATCAGAATCAGAATCAGAGAGGCTTAAAAATCAAAGGATTTAATGACACATTTACCCTCAGCCGGTTCTGACCTCAAAGTGCGGGTTTCCTTTTTGCATTGGGCGGGGTCTGTGCATTGGATTTACTGCCATATGTGATGAGCTGCACATCCAAAAGTAACTCCACCCAGTCCAGTCACCCTTCCACGGCATGTTCTTACCTTCCCCTCTGGCTCCACCTGGTGACCAGACCTGGAATCGCTTACTAATCAGACCCTAAACTCGTTAATGCCTTCAGGGATATACGACCTAAAGCTTCAAGTAAGCACAATATGGCATATTATATCATCTAATATCTAACACGACATCATAACGTGTCCTACAGCCTGAACATTATATTTCACTTCTTTTATACAGTCCAACCTTTTCCTATCTGTACAACTGCAGCCTCCAAAACCTGTCTATGGAGATAAAATAAGGAAGAAATAGATAAACTCCTCCTACCAGGATGTAGGATGTGTAAAGTATTAAATGACTTACAACATATACAGTATGATTAATTCATATTATAGAGTCTTATATATAAAATCACACAAACTTATTATATATGCTAGGTGTGCCTTTCTGCTTGAATTCCATCTAAGGAACCTGATTCCACTGGACAATGTGCTTCATTCTACTTTCACACGAGCTGTAAGGCTGTTCTATTCTGTTATGAATGTCTGAGTGTGTGTGAATAAACCAGCATAAAGTATCTGTTATATAAACGGTAAGAGGTCGGATGAGACTACGTATAATACTAGTAGAGCCGCACGGCTTACTGACCACTTCATTGTGTGTCTGTGCGTCTGTCTCAGGACCAGGCGATGGTCGGCTATGAGATGATTAAGACTATTGGAAATGCCACAGCGACCTACAAGTTCACACCCAAATATGTCCTGAAGGCCGGCCAGAAAGTCACGGTAAGAGTCTGTCTGCATTTTCATCTCAGTCCTTTTCTCTTCCAGTCATGTTTGCTTCTGTCTTTAAGCCCGGCTGGTCTCCAGTGCTCGGTGTTAAACAGTGGGGCCGTAGCCATGGCAACAGTGTGAACGTGAATACTGTGTGGATCTATACTTTGTGCAGGTCTGGGCGTCTGACGCCGGTGTGAGCTCCAAACCTCCTACAGACCTGGTGTGGAAGAACCGGTCCTCCTGGGGTTCAGGGGTGGATGTCCAGGTGATGCTGGTCAACCCTCAGGGAGAGGTGAGCACACACACACACACACACACACACTCCTCTTAAGAGTGTTGCTGCTGGATTGTGTTACCGGTGGAGATGGATGCTGAAGTGTGTGTGTGTGTGTGGCAGGAGGTGGCAAAGAGAACCACGACATACAGGACGACAATAGAGGAGGAGGATGATGATGAGGAGGATAATGGAGTGGAGATCACTGATGAAGAGCTCTACCACCAGCAGGTGAGAACATCAACCACCTCAGTCCAGATGTTGCATGGAAAACACCAGCTGGGGGTGTTGCGATACTGTCGCACCTGCCGTTACTAAGTAACCAATACCTGCGCTCGGTGGGTTCGAGCGTTTTTTAGTCTCGCCATTGCTCTGTGATTAATCAATGAACCGTTGCCCCTTCGACAGAATTAAGTTCGACAGCGTAAAAACGTGTGAATCATATGTTTATATGAGCAAAGGCTTTGTCAAGCAGTTGGGATGAGAGATGGAATATGACCCTTCACCCCTCCGTGTTGATGACCTGTGTTCGTGTCTGCATCGTGTTTTAAATGGCACCATGACTGTTTCTGTGCAGGAAGACCCTCGCGCCGCGAAGAGAGGCTGCTCCATCATGTGATCCACCATGTGATCATCATGTGATCCACCATGTGATCATCTCCACTTCCTCTGAGCCCAGCCAGTCTGCTGCCAACTCTTAATACTAGAACTATTTTTCTATGTTTTGTAGTGAACACCAAAAAGAAATGGATTTATTTCTCAGTAAAAAAAGCCAGTTTTTGGTAGATATAATTTCACCTGTAAAAGCTAAATGACGGGGCAATGTTTGTATTTGTAGTTCAGATTTTCTTTTTTAAACCATGCAACACGTAGCTGAACCCACGGACAGACTTGTCTTTTAAGAAAACAAGTATGTGATTTTCTTTTTTTATATATATATATATTTATAATAATGGCTTTTAGTTTAATTTTTAATCATTGATGCTATATTTTAGTCGGGAAGTAAATCACAGACTTACTGTTTTTAGTTCAAGTCCAAATAAGCACCGAGAGGAAAGAACAAGTGAACACAAGGAATTGGAAACGGCAGAATTGAGCAATGTAAGAAAAGCCGTGTGAACTTGTTCTAGTGTCCTAGAAGCACTGGTGGTTTCATCGTATTGGTAAGAGGAGGTCAAAGGACCGTTCAGTTGTCATGTTCCCTTAAAGATACGAGTAACCCGATCCCACTCCACTAAGTAAATGCTGCACCACTATTTGAGAAGTGCTGATTGTATTCTATACTTTTGATATTTGAAGTGTTTTGAAGTACTTTTGTGTTGTGTTGTGTTTCTATGCATGCTATGGCTGTAGACATCATAGTTGAATAATTAAACTACTTTTCTTGTACTTTCTTGTACGCGTAATGATTCACGTGAGGAGATTGATCCATACAGACCAGAACCTTCTAGTTGTCTCACAATGAAGCCCCCGGTTGGGTAGAATGGGTAAAGATCTACCTGTGGCTCTGTAGAAGATGGAGGGGAGGTTCTGTCTCCATCACCAAGGAGCACCTACGTGTAAATAAACTCGAGGGAGGAAGCGTGAGTTTGTCTCGACAACGACGTGTTTAACTGCAGAGCACTAAGGTCCGTTTGTCTGTTACGGTAAATATTCAATGGTGAGAAAGACGTGTTGCCTTTTGAATAGGGAAAATAATCCATTCCATAGATTCAAACTAGTGTCACAGGGCCATTTCTCACAAGAACAAAGTATAGAAATAGTCAAATCGGGTCTGCTTATCCTTTTCTCCTGAAATACAAACGTCTATATTCCTCTCATTGTCACCATTCTGTCCTATTTCATGTGGGAATGTAGGCCAGAGATTCATGAGCTCCTCGTTTTAGTGGCATCATTGCAGAGCACAAACAAAGTCATTTCTTTAGCATATTCTGAGCAAAGCGGTTTACGTCGACTCTACAGAAAAGGAAAAGTGAACAAACCGGTGGACGCGCCCTCCTTGTATGGCGGCTTTTCTTTGTGGGTCGGACATTTTTGAAATGCCTCCAACCTGAAAGTAGGAACCATTGTTGTCTTTGTTAAAAGCAAGGAAGTAGCCTTTAGAACGTTGAGTTCAGATCATGAAGGCCTGTGGGGGGGGGTCGACCGTCTTCTGCACCTCAGGCACCACCAGGTTATCTGGACATCGGCGCACAAACATTAGACTGTGGACCCACAACACGAGAGAGAGGGCAGAATCTAAGAAGATAAAACGTTATTTAATCAGTTTTTGGAGGATGTTTCTGAACGATTATCGGTTATACAAGTAAGGGTGTTTGTATAATAAGGGAGTAGTTGTAGAATAATAATATAGTAATAACAATCTACTACTTCAAAGTGCAGAGGAACAATTCAATCATATGAAATGAAAACGACTTGGGGATCATAAAAATATAAAAACATGAAATGTATTAAATGCCAAGGGAGCGATTGCAAAATCCAGTTATATATGAAATGTTCATTAAGGCTTTTCCATAATACTAATTATATACTAATACTGGAAACACAAATGATAAATCGATGTGTGAGTGGAAGTAAACGGTCCTTTTCGCTCCAGTAGAAGTTCCAGCTTCTCGTGAAGAGTCAGGGGCGTCAGGGACTCTCTGTGGTAGAGGTGGAGCAGGCGGATTGTTCATCTCAACTGAAACGGTTACATGATTTCACCCCCAGATAATCAAGTTGCGTCAAGAACGAGTCAGACAGGAAGTGCGGCTTCAGAATAAAAAGCACTTGTTACATATCAGGATGTCACACAACTTCTATCACAGGCTCAAAAGGAATATATATATATATATATATATATATATATATATATATATATATATATATATATATATATATATGGCATTTCTGTCACAAGATGTGATCTAAGTCTACGTTAACAAAATGGACCGGATGCGTCTACAGTGTGTTCAACAATGTGTATAAAACAAAGTATAAAGTAAGCACCTATTTTCTGCTGACTTTGTAGCCATAGCATTTCATTGGCTAAAGGAGTTATGGAAAGAAGGCTCAGTCAAATTTACGGATGTCTCTATTGTTTTTTTTCTTGTGTTCCGTTTTGTGCCGCATATTTAGACTCTTAAACCCTTCATTGTTTAGTTGTTATGTTTATGCTTCTCTCTGTTAATGTTGTCACAATTACTTCTTGTTTGTAACTAATTCACAATCCGGCGATGGCGACACGTTGTTATTCTGATCTCTTTTATTTTGAAGGCAGCGCGCGTCGCGTTCCGGCGCCGCGGCGTGTCGCTTGACCTCTGTGGGCCGGCCGCTGTTACATCACGCCGACGGCTCGTGTTTATTACCTGGACTGCAACAAGCAGCAGAGTAAAAAGCGAGCGCCGCGTGTCCCCCCGCCGTGTCCCCCGCCGTGTCCCCCGTCTCGTCCCCCGTCTCGCAGCCATGTCTCTGGGGTGGCTGTCGGCGCTGCTCGCGGGCGTGTTCTCCGCGCACGTCCTCCAGACACTTTGCTTCCCGTACTTCTGGAGGGACCTGCTCTTCCTGCTGAAGGTGCTCAGGTACGGCGCGCGCCTCGAGCTGACCAAGCTGACCCGCAGCGCGCGCACGGTGCTGGACCGGTTCGTGCAGCAGGCGCGGCGCATCCCCGACAAGCCGTTCGTCGTCTACGAAGGACGCGTGCACACGTACCGGGACGTGGAGCTGCGCAGCAACAGGCTCGCCAACGTGTTCCTGGACAGCGTGAAGTTGAGGAAAGGAGACTGCGTCGGCTTGCTCATGAACAACGAGCCCGACTTCCTGTGCGCGTGGTTCGGGTTGGCGAAGGTCGGCTGCTCGGTGGCGTTCCTCAACACCAACATCAGGTCCAAGTCTCTGCTGCACTGCTTCGACTGCTGCGGAGCCAAGACGCTGGTCGTGGGTTCAGGTACGGCGCCGGCCTCCTCCCGGGGTCTCCTAGGAGATCCGTCCGTCCATCACAGCTCCAACTGGGTTCACGCGTAACCGAACCGAAATGTTCAAGGGTTTTCTGATCGATGTCAGCGAACCTCGTGGAATGATGGAATGCAAAAAGTATCAAAAACTCAACACCAATTTGTAGGTTGTAGGTTTTGTCACTCAGCGATTTGCTAAATCTTGAGCTGGTGTGAATGACAGACAGGGTCGTGCAGGAAAATCACATATTTTGCGCAAAAATCTTATTTCACAAATATGTGAAAACTCTGCACAAATACAAAAATATTGACAATTTGTAAGTTTATTATTAACATAATAAAAGTGATTCTCTTTTATTATTTTATTTCTGTGGTTCAGGCCCTTTGGCCGCCGTTGATTAACTGTTTAACCAGTTCAATGATAACGTTCAAACATAAAAATCTAGAACCTAAACTATAAATAAAACAGTTTCTTCTTGATAAACACATCAAATCCCCCCAAAAATTAAAAATACCTATGTTCTTGATTAATTAATCAACTTCAATGTCAGAGTCTATTTGTGGGACTTTGCAATTCAAAACATGTCAAATGTCAAATGTCTTTGTGTCCGGCCTGTGAACAGTATGTTGTTTAGACGCAGTACATGTGTTGTTGTGTTGTTATTGTGAACCTCACTCTGCAGGTCACTTTAGTTGTTTTATGACTTCCCTCCAACTCAGACAGTCGCAAGCCGTCCCCCTGCTTTCTAATGATTTCATGTGTAATGTTTGCTGGTTGTTGTGATGAAATGAGAACATGAACCTGATTTTGAATCCTATCTTGCACACACACACACTCGTGTCTTTGAGGGAAAAAAATCCCGTTTCCACGGTTAATAGGGATCAGCACGCTGCAGCCATGTGACCGACGGAGGACCGCCCAACCAGACAGGCGTCGTGATGTTGGTCCGCGGCGCTCTGCTCATCCATGGAACCGCTCCGTGTTATGACTGCTGTCAATCACAACTTTTCATAACGACACAACGTCTATTTTTAGCGTTGATCTGAATCTGAAAAAAAAGGAAATTCGAGAGGTTATGTTTCAGAATTATTCGATGGTAAGAACTTGCATATAGAGCTCATCGTTTTGGGGATATTAAAGTAAGCGGACTCTAGTGCTCTGAAACCTGTTCTCCACCACGGGACCCCTCATGCCCACCCAGTAACTCAGGCCCCCTCTCTTCTAGAAAAGGCCCCCGTCTGGTCCAAGAACAAGACAAGAACCTTAATGTGTGTACGTGGGTCTTTAGAAGATCCCTTTTTGTACCCACCACTCCAGTGTAAAGTGTACTGAATCTACTCGGTATGCGATGAAGAGCAATGAGGCCTTCATCCCTTAGTTTACCCGCGCCGGGTACTTGCTGGTTTCGTATCGCCGGCCCGGTTCCTCTCCTGGAGGATTCCGTGTCTCTCGAGGGTTCAGGTACTGAACTAGGAGTCACCAAGCTACCTGATCCCCAGAGCTCGCGTTTGGACTGTGGAAGGAAGCCACGCAGACACGGGGCAGAACATGCCGACTCCGCACAGGAGGTCCGATTGGTGGAGACAAACTCAGAGGAACAAAGATGTGCTGTCGCACCGTAAACACGACAGGATGTGTGCAAATCGTGCTCCTCATGTGTGGCTTTTCTGTTTACGCCCCCCCAGATTTAGTGGAAGGTCTGGACGGCGTCCTCGACGTCCTGCTGGAGGACAACATTCAGGTGTGGGCCATGGGGGGTCCGGGCGGGCACCCGCGGGTGCACACTCTGTTGGATAAGTTGGACGCTGCCTCCGACCAGCCGGTAGCAGCGGCGCTACGTGCCGCCGCCTCCCTCAAATCGCCCACCCTCTACATCTTCACCTCCGGAACCACCGGTGAGTGTGAGGAGCGACCTCCGGTATCACGGCTCTCGCTCCACCACGACGAGGTGGAGAGCAGCAGTGGTGCTCAGAGTCCTCCACAAACGCGCTTCTTGTTATTGGTTACCAAAACAACAACAACAACAACACAGTGGTGGTTGTTTACACTTCTTATTAATTGATGAATGGTTCATTCACATGATTCTTTATAAGCTTAGTCTGTGGCTCTCACTGACGTTACTGAATCTCTCAGTATCGTTAAAATGAAAGCAAGTGATGTGGTTCATCCTCCTGTGACATTTCACAGGAGGATGAACAGCACAAGTGTGATTGTGTGACGGCTTCTCCTCCTTCACTTCTAAACCCAACAGTGTATGAACACCAAAGCTCTGCAGCTCCGGGTGTGTGTCTATTTGAGCTTTTGGTTTTACAGAGGAATCGTTTACTACATTTGACATATTTTATTGATTAGTCATATTTTTGGACATTGTTCGGAGATTTTTACTTTTTAGTCATTGGTTGAACGTGCAAGGAAATTAAAGGTAAAGTAAATATTGAATGTTAACAGGTGCTGAATACTTAATATACACAAGGCGAATGTATTTGTATAGCACATTTCAATAATAAGGCAATTCAAAGTGATTTACATACAACTATTAACACACCCGGATAAAGGACATTTAAAAACAATTAAGTACACACAGACATTAAAACGATAAACAAGAGAAAGTTTCAGTTAATGAAAAAACTAAATTGTATTTTGGTGGGATACGGCACAGAGCGTCATCCCACCCGGAGTGAAAGCCCGCCAGACATGATCTCAATTCAGTGCTTCAATCATCAATCAGGTCACAAAACCTTCTCTCATCGTTTCCACAAGGGCTCCCTAAAGCTGCAGTGATCACTCACCTCCAGAGCTTGAAGGCAGCAGCAGGGTTTTGGGCGTTTGGAGCTACTGAAGACGACGTGATGTACATCCCTCTACCGCTCTACCACAGCGCAGCCTCCTTGATCGGCATTGGAGGAACCATAGAGCTGGGTAGGCTTCCCAATATTTCCACATGTGTGCTTGTTGGATGAAATCAAACCGTTAAGGAGGTCAGGGGTCTTTGTCTTACGAAACCAAGACATCTGGAGGCCTGTCTCTTGAGCGAAAGAGGCACACAGCACCCTTGGGTGCGTTGCTCTTAAAATAAGCACGGTTCAGCGCCAACCGCTGTTGTGCCATTGGCACGTTGTTCAGATGGTGAGATGCACTTCCATTAGGCGGTTCACAACGGCAAATTCTGAGCGTCAAATTGAATGAGATGAAACTTCAATTGGTTTGTTGATGATAAAAATGCTAAATAACGTGTATTTTGTAACAGGGTTTGTTTTATTTGCTTCCATCTATGAACACGCGACTGTTCTACTCTAACTCTGAAACCATTGTAAAAGATTATTATATTTACAGTTTACAGCTTATTTTTGACATGAAACTAAACGTTTCGCATAATAATCCTAATGATCCTTATTTTAACCAAATATATGGCACCTAAATGATTAATCGCATGCATCTCTGTGAATCATGAGTTCAAAGTTCAAACGTGGTGTATTGCACACTTTTATTGGTGCAAACACTCGAAACAAATATGTGGCTTTTACAGCAGCATTCCCTCCAGCAGTAGCAGTTAAATATATAGTTTTAAATCTTAACTTAATCAAATGTAAAATATAAACTATTCAAATCCAATATAAAACCAGAGCTTTTTTGTCACTGCCAGGGCAATAAATCACCTAGATCACATATGTCAAACTCGCTGAGGTGTGTGAGGTGGTCAGAACCGTCCGTGGTTCCGGTTATTAATGACCTTGTTCTATCAACTCTGCCTCTTTTTCAAAAGAAAATGTGCATGTTGGAGTTCTTAACCTTTCTCCATTATTTTGTCCCCGTCTTTTCTCTGTTGGTTCACGTTAGCTTGAAGAGCATTTGGGGGTGGTCCAAAGATAATTTGTCCCACCCCCAAATGCTCTCATTGGTTTAGGCGCCTGATGATGGCTCTCTAAGGGCTGCGTACGTGCAGAACAGACGGAATCTTACTTTGCAACAATTACAGTTGGAATTTGAGGACGGTACCAGAAGCCTTCACAAGGATGTGTTGGTCTTTGTTATATAACCCTGACAGGACTCCAGTGTCCACTGACCACAGTGTAGGAAAGCAGTGACCCCTCTGAGGACCCACTGTCTCACAATTAGTGGCTTAATTAGAGGCTTTAGAACAGGAAGTGGACACTGAAGACTATTATGGAGAATTGTTTTTGGTCATGGTTGCTGTGTCTTCCCTTTTCATGGAATTGCACACTGTGTGGACCTTTCGTATTTGGGTTGAGATTACATTACAGCATTGTGAAAACCGCTCGCTTTTGGCAGCTAATTTAGAGTTGAAAGGTCATTTTGCTGTTGTATAATACTTTTGGAAAAGCAGCAAAATTCTATTGCTTAATCTTTGGCTTCTGCATTCTTTCCAATTGCCACAAAAGGTGACGGGTCAACGTCCTTTCCTGTTAGAGATACACATCCCGACAGTTGTGCTAACAAACCTCGAGGCCGTTGTCCTGACAGATGTTGAAATGCATGTGGACACGTGGACTCTAGGACGCGTGAGGGCTTTAGTTCTGCCCGCCGTCGCAGCTACTACAACTTATTAACCCCCGGACCTTTTCAGTTCGGTCTCTGATTGTTTGGTACTTGCCTAATCTATAATGAACCCGATACCAACCGCTTGTGACCTTTTGCCCTTCATTAGTTACACCTGTTCAATCGCTTGTCAACACAAATCGGCCGATCACATGGCAGCAACTCACTGCCTTCAGGCACGTAGACGTGGTGAAGACGACTCCGTGAAGTCCAGAGCGAGCGTCAGAGAGGGAAGACGGGGATTTAAGTGACTTTAACGTGGATGTTTGTTGGTGCCAGACGGGGCGGTCTCAGTACGTCACAGACTGCTGATCTACTGGGATTCTCACCCACAACCTTCTCTAAGGTCCACAGAGATGGTCCAAAAAGAGAAAATATCCAGAGAGCAACACAAATGCCTCGTTGGTGTGAGAGGTCAGAGGAGAACGGGAAGACGGGTCGGGATGGTAGAAAGGCAACAGTAACACACAGAAGCACTTGTTACACACCTGGGTATCGTTGCTGACCATGTCCATCCCTCCATGACCACAGTGTAGCGTCTTCTGATGGCGACTTCCAGCAGGATAATGCACCATTTCACAAAGCTCATAGCATCTGGTTTCTTGAACATGACAATGCTGTCCTCCAACCAATGGAGTGGGACGAGGCCGGACAGCGTTCCTGAGATTGGGGCGACTTTAAAACCATCTTGGCGACGCTGTTTTGTCATAAGCGCCTTGTGACAAATCCAGCAACCTTTTCTGCTGCTCCAGGAGACTTTTGGGGTCTCCTGGAAGTCTCCCAGCAGCAGTCAGAGCGGAGACCCACACGTCTCCGCGTGAAGCCGCCGCTCATCCTACACTGTCACTTTTTATGAGTTTGCAGGTATGAATAAGTAAAGACATTCATTAAATGAAACCCTTTGATTTTGCAAATCATGGACCACATCTACGATGTCGAAAAGTAAATACAAAGTGTGGCAACATGTTGGTGTCATTAAACCTTGAACTTTCCAGTAGAGACAGATCTCATCACGGTCTCGCTTATCACAAATGAAGAAAATCAGCTGTTAACCAGCTTTTTCCAGTCAACTGATGTTTTTACAGGGTGAGTATCATAAGTACATAAGTACATCAAAAGTGAATATGATCCGCTTAACAACTGTCTCCACCATTCAGATACTTCAGGAAGTCAAACTGCACCTAAAGGTTGTAGAAGAGAAGCGTTATGTTGTTTATATTTGTTGTTATTTTGTTTCTTGTATTTGTATAAGTGATCAACCATGTGAGTACATGACAAAAGCCATCTGAACCTATGAGGAGGTTTAGCGGTTTGCTTCTTTCTCATATCTATGAGGCTGATGGCCATTTAATCAGCTGACAGCATTTAAGCAGGTGAAACCTGCTTTTTGTAATCGGTTCACAGGATTAGTGAATAAGGATTTCTCCTGTAGAACAGTGATGTATCTATGAACTGGTGCCTGCTAGTATAGGTATACATCCAACGTTTGCTTTGGGATGGGTGCATCACAATAAACGCAATGCAATAGCAGACACATTCAAATAGTTATGATTGTTTTTATTTAAAAAAATCTCACAAAACAAGTATGTAAGCAAAATGTAAAAGGCTATTAGATGTAAGTATGTGCAGGGGAGTGCACAGTAAGACATTGTCCTGGGGATAATGCTGCGCTGCAGTTGAGGCGGAACTGCGATGGGGGTGTGAGGTCTTGGTCCTGAAGGACAGCAGCCTCCTGCAAGAGGGAAGGGGAAGAAGTGGTGTGAATGGTACCAGACGGTGATGGAGCAGTCCAGGTTGGACTCAATGATGGCAGGGTAGACCATCATTGTCTCTGGCAGGAGAAACGTCTTTGGCTGACTGGGGAAGAACATCCTCTGCGAGCCTTCAGGTGATGGCGTAGACTCCAGGGCATCAACAAGGGAGTCCCACTGGGGGCAGGTGGGGCAGGTGGGCTTGACCTCTTGCAGAAATCTGCAACCATCTCCACCGTCTTTAGAGCACTGCGCTCTAAGGGGGGCGGCCAGATAGGCGGACTCGCCCCCGCCGGAGATCGGTCCAAAGAGGTTGGTGCATATGCGATCTTGGGGGTTGCAGCGTCACCAGCACCCGTGCAAATCCAGCATGGTGGGGTCACGCTGCCTGATGCGTGAGGGCCGAGCTCATGGCCAGTTCAATCTTATCTGGACACCTCACCCTGGTTCCTCTGCCTCCGCTTACGTTATTCAGGAACTTCAATTGTTCAGTAGTTACAATCATAACAGAATAAATTCTACCCGAAATGTAGCATTCTCCTGTTCTAAATGTATCAGAAGTTTACCAGCTAACTCCTAAAATGTGAATTTACTCCCCTTAATCTGCGATGAAGTGTGTGGGTGTGTATGTCCCGTTGTACATACTCACCCACGCTTGTGCCTCCTTCCGCTGATGGTTATCTTCCCAGAAATGTGCAAACTACAGGATACAAAATGGCACAAATTGAACTTGGTTTAGTACAGTGTAATCCCTTTTGAGAAGAAAAGGGAACAGAAGTTAATGATGACTACCTAAACAGTTAAACGTCCCAAGCTTCAAAAGCTCCTGGTTAGCCAGTGAGGAGGTAATTCAACTTGATTTAGTATCCCAGGGTGAGATCTAGGTCACATTCTCTTCCTAACTCAGAATCCTTAAGCCTCTGAAAACCGTCCTTTTTATAGCTCTCTCCGCATTATGGAATTGGCAGAGATCACAGGCCTCCATCACAGGCCTCCATCACAGGCCTCCATCACAGGCCTCCTTCACATGAGTTGATTTACAAATGCAATACATTCCCACACAGGTAACCACTTGTATTTTGCTTTCTACAAGCATGCATGTGCAGAACATGTGCTCAATATTCTTTGGTGATGCTGTGAGGTAAAACAACAAAACAAGGTGTTGTTGTTGAAGAGATTTCAACAGTACAGGAACCTGCATGGTGACACAATGCTCTACAGTGTCCTACACAAAATATCTACAAGACTCTACATGAGAATGAAATGGCACCTGTGATGTGCTAATGCGCTAATTTAATACCATTGTCTGTTTTGACAGGTGCGTCCTGCGTCTTGAAGAAGAAGTTCTCAGCCTCCCAGTTCTGGACTGACTGTAGAAAACACAACGTTACCGTTTTTCAGTATATCGGTGAACTCTGCAGATACCTCTGCAACCAACCCAAGGTAATCTGTTGTGCAGTGAACTTCAAAGTGTTATCGATAACTGCACAAATGATATCATGCCACAAACGGGCACCAGAACATTGCATTTCTGTTCATTCCGGTTTGAAAATATACCTTGGGGGAAGGTTCTGGTTTTCTCTGAAACAAATGAAGTAACTTTAGGAGTGGTACCCATTCTCCCAACGTATGCCAACATTAAATCCCTTCCTGCTGTGTGATTGTTGAATTTGAAGAGCTTAGTCTTCTTTCTGATGTACCTAAGCCCTTGCTCTGCAAAGCATCCCGAGCTTTCTTCCGTCCTAAACGTTCTATTGCATACTTACTGCTGGCTGTTATTATCAAGACATGACGTGCCGTAAGGTTATTCACATTTAACATCTACGTATAAAACATCTACAGAATGACCATGCAAGCAGAGCAACGGGGACAACGGCATCAACGCTTCACACTCCTTTACTGTTACTGCCACTCGCAGGTCCGTCTAGTAAGGCCGTGTGCAAGCGTAGCAGCAGGACAAGCAGTGCCTTTGTTGTGTAATGTTTGGTGTGCCCAGATATGCACGGACACACAGTCATTGCTTCTAGAAGCCGGACTCAAAGTCCCCTTTGTCCTCTGTTATTTGGCTGCGTGGGTGGAAGGACGGCCATGAGCGTCCTCGCCGCTGATAGGCCACTTCTAGATGTGGACACGCACGGCTCATAAGAACTTTTTCACAAGTTCAATGTGTGCACCCAAGCGTGAGCACCAATAACCGCCAATTATTTAGACCGACAACTATTCAAGATAACTGCAACTCATGGAAACTAAAGGGTCTGTTGCACGGTTTGAGATGATTCCAGCCGTGTGTCGCGCCCACAGACTGTTTATAAGAGGAGGACATGGTCATCGGGATGTCGTCCATTGCTTTGTGGACTGCCTCAAGTTCAGCGATTTGGCCGTTGCTATCTTGTTTTTGCGACCATTGACCACGTTTAGACTGCAGAAGAGTGTTGAGATGCCGACTGTAGCAGAGGTTACCTGTAAATCAGTAGTTGACGCTAAATTAACGATTTACTAAATGAACATCATGCTGTATTGAAGACCGTCAACTCATGTTTACAATGTCTACCTAGGGAATACATCAAAAGAGTGCATTCATTTCCCCATAGACTTCTATACATATAGTCTCCCCCTGGTGGTCAGTGGTGAGAATGCAAGTTTAAGACAATTCCTCAACGGCTTCACTTAACATCCAGAGGATGCCGCCTGATCTGGCCTCTTTCGTTTATTTCCGGGTGCTCAAAAGACTTCTGTACAGGTTACACGGTTGTATCTTGGCGTTGCTCTTCGGGTGAGGCTACTCAATCCAACAAGTGAATTTTAGGAAATGGGAAGTACATCAAGATGAAGCAGCGATCTTGATTCCCGAATCACAACGAGGCGCGAGAAGTCAAATTAGAAAAGGCCCTTTGTCAGGTCCTGCCATCAATGGACGCACCAGTTCTTCTTCTTCGGACAGAGTAGTTGCTGAACTTGCGCTGGCTCCCTCCGATGGTCAAAAACTGCTAGATTACCAACCAAGAGAAATAAACCCACCGCCCCTCGAGTGCGGACCCCATGCTGTTGTCAATTCATTTACATTGTGTTTTATTTACATACGAAATGATCAGTTGTCCCCTTCCCCCACCCCCGTCAGACAGCGGGGGATCAGGTTCACAAGGTACGGATGGGAGTCGGGAACGGACTGCGGCAGGACGTGTGGCGAGAGTTCCAAAGTCGCTTTGGAAACATTAAGATGTGCGAGGTGTACGGCTCCACGGAGGGAAACCTGTGTTTCATGAACCACATCGGCAAGATTGGAACGGTGGGCCGCTCCAACTTCTTCTACAGGGTGAGTACCCGGTGACCCTAAGACTAAATATAGAGAACATACGCAAACTGCTTTAAACAAATACACATGGGCTGAAGAGTGACTTGTTATGGTTGAATAATCATAGAAAATGAAGGGGTTTAAGCATGTGCGCTCGTCACAAGCACTCTACTGTGCACAGCCCACAGTAGACACACGGACACAATACATGTCTTTATCATCGGTGGTGTTTGTAGGTGGAAAGAAATGTTAAATGCAGAAAGTGACACTGTTTGACACATTCCACACAGTTTACCTCAGGGGATCGCGTTCCTCCTGGTGCTTTTGCTGTACGTTTGGTCAGGAATGTGATGAAGGGCTGTTGTTGACCCGGTACCATCCCCTTGTTAGTGTGTCTGCTGTGACAAGCACACAGGGGCTCTGCTTTGGCCACATAGCTGCAACCAGGATATTTGATATCATGCAGAATGATATTCCCTCCCTCCTGGTGTTACTAAGACACCTTTCAGCTGCCAAGAGGCTGGACTTTGACTGTTTGCCTCTCTGCATTATCTAAAAATCCATTTTTGCAATACGCTCTTGTTTGCTTCCAACCCACGCAGCTAACGGGCACGTCCAAGTCTGACCGCTCATGGTGGGCAGGGCAAACTGTAGGGGGGGGACGGGTAACCAGCTTAGAGGAGATCTGTCAGGTCCTGTATTGTGGTGCAGATCAGTGGGGTCCTTCAGAGGTCATCAACGATCGTACTCCACGAGGCGTGGACGCCGCGCCATCAACAGTCCAATATGACAACGATAGCATGAAATGTTCATTTAATCTATACGACGTGGTAAAAAGTGTCCATCCTATATCGGCTTTACTAGATCCATCTGTGCGATGATACAGAGTCCAAAACATATAAAAATAAGGGGTTAGACTCTCATGTCTGTCGGTAGGTTTTCAGAACAGAATCCATGAATTATTGACTGATCTCAGGCCCCCTCATGTCCTCATAAGCGTGGGCTGTGGTTCTTTAGGATGAATAGCAGCTCACCAGTTCTTGTCCTAAAGAAGAAATGAAAACATAAATTCATTAAGACTGATTTTGAAAGTGTATTCGGGCTTTTTGATGGAAGCGTGCGATGAAGACGCTAAAGAAAGCACCTCGGCTTATAAAGGTTGAAGAAACGCCCGCGCTGTGAATTTGTGTCGATAACGTTGGGTAAGAAGCGTCTTCTTCGGCCAATGCTTCCTCTACTTGGTCCTGTGACGTTTGGTGAGACTTTGATTTTAACCCCGGAGGTCATTATACACATGAGGTTATGCTCTCACTACAGTGAAATGGCGACACACGTACCTGGGCTCAGATACCTTGTCGTACCCACTCAATGCCCACTCAAGTTTTCTGAAGTATTTCAATTCACCACTTCTAGAAAGCGTGTAAATAACAAATCAACGCTGCATGCAGAGAAAGCTGTTTTTGTCGCACGCTGCCGGGGTTCAGGAGGCCGCTGGGACCCCAGAACCCGCTTTCAAACATCACAAATGAGCCCCGCGTCCCATCTGTATCTTATCACAGTACAGTGTGCACAATGCAGAACCAAACCCGGCTCACATCCGCTCGTGTGTTTTGTGTTATGGGTTGAATACGACACACAATGCAGTCTTCTACTCGCAATACATTGTAGTGCAGTTGTTTGGTAGATCTTGTGGATGTGATAACAGAAAGCCCTCATATGCAATTAGTAAGTGGAGGCTTTAATGGTGTGATGCTGAATGAGGAGTTTTGCTGACTAAGCTAAGTGGTATTAGCCACTTAGCCCTGCTAATGCTCGTTTTAGGAGCGGTTCATTAGTTCTAAATGTTTAGCTGTAATCTCTGCCCTCGGCTATTCTTAGATATGGCTTGATACTTTTCCTGCTGCCTCACGAAATCTTTTCTTGTCATGGGCCGACATAAAATGTACAGAGTCTGTAATGTGAGATGAAAACAAAGATAAGTAATGTGGATCTGTTCCCTTTGCAATGAATCCCCTAAAAGGTGCAACCTACAGAGGTTATTAGTGAAGTAAAGAGTCACATGAAGGGGGCAGAAAATAAAGATAATTAAGAATATGTTTTGGGTCTCAAGTCTTTTGGGTTCTGAAAAGTCTTTTTCAAGAAAGTGAAAGAGAAAGTTCACTCTCGTCTACGTAAAAAAGTTGTCCAGTAAAAAATAAATATCTTCCACCACTACGTGTACGTATATAAAAAGTGAAGTATGCCGCGTGGATATGGATGTAATCTTTATCTTATCATTAATAACTGACCGACCATCAAACTGTTACTAATGAGGGCAAAGGTGCTACCAGGAGGTGGCGCTATTCGCTGTGTGCTTCTATAAATCTCAACCCAAACAAAAAACGATCTACCGACAGCAGGTTAAAGTATGCACATGTGTTCTGTGGGTGGCGCTCCTTTATTAACGTAACATTTAATGTGACGATACGTTCTTCACATCCTTCTTTTCTCCAGCTCCTGTTCAAGTACGATCTGGTGAAGTACGACATGGTGAAAGATGAAGCAGTGAAAGATCCCAACGGCTTCTGTCAGCGAGTGGAAAAGGGTAAAAGATCTGCCCTTGTGATGTGACCTCACCGGGGGGGAAAAAAGGGCTTTGTTTAGACGTTCCACTTCCCGTCCTGCTCCCAGGTGAGACGGGGCTCTTACTGTCCAAGGTGAGCGCCTTGAGTCCGTTCTTTGGCTACGCTGGAAGCAAGCAGCTGACCGAGAAGAAGCTGATGAGAAACGTCTTCGGGAAGGGAGACGCCTACTTCAACACGGGCGACCTCATGGCCGAGGACCGGGACGGCTTCATCTGCTTCAAAGACCGAGTGGGGGACACCTTCAGGTACAGCGTGACGGGAGCTTATTTCACGTATCTTCCTGCAGGTACGAACCGTACCCCGAGACCTTTGTCCTCTTTCATTTGTCCCCATTTTTTTGGTCCAAAATGGAGCATTAACTGAGTAGAGCGGCTGCGATTACCGTCCCTTTACGTCCATAAGTTCTTGTTTTGCCGTTGAAATGCTCAGATTGCTATTTAGAAATAGGATCCAGGTTTAGAAATACCAAAGTACCCTGTAAAGGTACTTTTGTAGCTGTTATACATGTGATACTTGACTTTCTTTCCAGGGTTTTTATGCGATGATAAAGTAGTCCATGATTATGATGCGTGAGCTAGTTAGTTACACTGGTCATGTCTCAGGTCATGATGTGGTGTTTGTCCCCTGTAGTAGTTTGGTTTGATTCATTTAGTAAATGACGGCCGATGTCGAGTCAAACGGACCGTTCAGCGGGCTGCGCTTTAGGGCGGAACACGTTGTCATTGGCTGGTGCTACCAGAGACTAATGAGGGTCACATACTTGTACTTGTGGGTAAGGAGAGCCATACAAGCCAACTGCACAATGCGATTGCATGTTATTTGTGGTATTATATGCTAAACCTTTTTCTGGCAGTCGTGTGGTCCGGTGGGTATTGAGGCGTTCTGGTGGTTTGCCAATGAGGCGTGCCGGCAGCCGTCAGGGAAGGAATACATGCCGGGTTGTCTTTGTTCACCGCAGAAACCCGATTTAATTCATTTATTACAGCCCAAAACAATGTTGTTTGATTTGAATCATCCCGTTTGCCTATTTTCAGGTGGAAGGGTGAGAACGTAGCAACGACGGAGGTGACGGAGACTCTCGGGCTGGTGGACTTCATCCAGGAAGTCAACGTGTACGGAGTGGAAGTGCAAGGTACGCTGGGACGCGTCTGTGTTTGCATTCCTACCTCCGCCTTCCAGAACATCTGCTACAGATGTTTTCAGAGTAGTTCTTCATACTGCAGTCAGCCGTGCTGTTTCAGGCCCCGGCCCCGATAACGGAGTCATCGCATTGACCCTCCTTGTCCACACAGGGCACGAGGGGAGGGCGGGGATGGCCGCCGTGATCCTCAGAGCGGGCATGGCGTTCGACGGGGGGAAGCTGTTTGAGCACGTGACGAGGGACATGCCGCCGTACGCCCGGCCGCTCTTCATAAGGCTCCAGGTAAGGAGGGGGACGGGTGTCCTTCATGACCCATCATCCTGGACCACCGATCTCAGGCAGGTCCGCCTCCAGGGGGCGTGGTTGAAAGTACATTAATTCCCATTAATTCCGCCAATTGTTGGCGAGAAGTATAAAGTAGCAAGGATGGAAGTACAGAAGTACAAAGTACAAATGGCTACAGTACTTTTTCAAGGTAACAAATACAAATAGAAGCACAATCGTTGATGGATTTGAGGATCGTTGAGAGTTTTGTGATCACAAAGAAAGACGGCAGCCATCGTCTCCTCGTACAGTCGGAGGCAAAAGACACAGATTGTCATCGTCTAGCACAGCGGGTCCACAGAGCCGTGGTCTCCACCAACCCACCCAGATATCAGAGGGGCTGTGGTCCGCGTGCGCGTTGCGCTCTCTAGTGTCCATCAGGCTTCAGTGCCCTGAACAGACTTGGATGAGTCCAATGAGCACTGTGAGGTTCTGACTAAACCGATTTCATTCATTTCCTGCTTGTTATTGGACAAGAAACGTAAAGTACACTAAAATGTGTCCTCTGATTCACAACAATCTTAATCCGTGTATTCATGAGTCGACCAGGAGCGAGCGCTTCAACGCTCTATAGGTTTATGGGTAGAGCACCGCCTGGTCGCACGGTTGATGGGGAGGAGTGGAGACAACCACAGGGCAACGCGTCGGCGTGAGAGTAGCAAGTACGCACGACTAACCGCTCTTTCTACCATTGGACTCAACTGGCCACATTGTCACAGAGAAAAGCAACGTTGTGAGTGGAAGCAAAAGCGCTTGAGCTTGGATGCGACACAATGACTTGTTAAAGGAGATAAAGGAGTCATCTTGCTACACACGCAACAAAAGCACAGTACGTCCACTCTGACTTTTGGTGTCATGCAGCGTCCTTGGTGAATGTCCTGAGTTGTGTCGCTCATCAGCCCCATCCGCTCCCATTAGAACTATAACGGCCACTAAAGTTTGCCAGCTTATTTGAACACACAAACACACACACACACACACACACACACCAGTGGTCAACCATGTAATCAGTGGACAACAAGCCTCTCTTTTAACCCACAAAGTTTAACATAAACATGTTATTTTAATCAACCTTTGACGTTGCTCCTGTATAAGATGTTTCCTCCTCTGTTGTCAGTGGTTGATACAAATGTAATCCTGTTGCTTATCTTGGGGGGGAAGTGGGAGTCAAAGCAGACCTCGTTGTGATGCAACAATGACTTTGACTTGCATGGAATTATTACCATTAGCAGCCGTGGGCTCACGGACTCACTTAAGGACACTGACATGCAGACATGAGGAGGCACAAACTGTGGTTAAAGGAACAGCCGCTCCATCTGCTTTTCCTTTGTTTACATCGAGTGTACGAGGAGTTGGAAGCAATGAGAGCGGAGAAGTGGACAGTTTAAGAAGAGCAACGTCTGAAAGTCCCAAACTCAAGTGGTTTCTTTGGTCTAGAGCCGCGAATTCACATCCACCTTTGATCAACCGTTACCTTCTGTGTCCCGATGTCAACCAAAGGACTGTTGGATTCAAATTTGCTTCATTTAACCAGATTGATAATATTCAGTTGATGGACTAACGGTAAAATAGGCCAGCGCGGATGAATCAATCAGATCCAATCATGGGAACATTGATCCGTGCTCCACACACAGCTCACTGCAGCGCGCTGACTGTTGTCGTATGTTCTCCTCAGGACGTCATGGAGATGACGAGCACCTTCAAGCAGCAGAAGTTCCAGCTGGTGCACAGCGGCTTCAACCCCTCTACGACCTCTGACCCCCTCTACGTGTTGGACTACCAGCAGCAGAGCTACATTCCGCTCACGGACGGAATCTACCGGAGCATCCAGGCCGGAGAGCGCAAGCTGTAGGAGCCTCAGCGCGGGGGCGGGGTCAGCGCCGCGCCCACAGAAGCCAGGTGGGGGCGCCGCGGCGTTCAGGGAAGTGCTTCCCGCCGGCTCAGCTAGTGGGCGCCAGAGGACCAGGAGCAGCGTGGAGCGGAACACGTCACTGTGACGCCACAACTCACCTTCAGCCCAACGGCGGTTCTGGAAACTCAGGATTTGATCAAAGCACTGCGAAAAAAATCCCCCCAACGAAGAAGCTCTTAATTCCTGAAGAGAATCTGCGAGTTATTTACGTATTAAAGTGAAATGCTTGACAGATTTATTTATAATTATTTTTATGGTTGCAATTTTTGTTCCATTATGGATCCCAGGTAGTTTCAGCTGCGAAAGAATAATTTAATTAGGATTATTCTTCTTACTCAGATATGAGCTTGATTAACGGAGAGATTAATAATGACGATTCTTTAATGAACTGTACAGGATTAAGAGGGTGAATTGTCATTTTATCATTGATAGAATCCAGTTAAAGTGCCTTCATACTACAGTACTAAAGGTCACATCAGTGGATTTGAGGGATACATTTAATGTTTGGTTTGTTCGCAGAAGTCTGATACTTTGCTGACAAATGGGAACACGAATATTCATCCAGAGGCTTTTGTTTTTTACTGATCTGACTTATTTAGACGGTTTCCTTGTTCCGTTTACCAATCACTACGAAGAATGTGTGTTTATTTATGAAACAGAAGTAGTTGCATATTGATTGATGATGATTTTTAATGTGAAGTGCCCGGACATTCAGTCATATGAAGCGTTTGCTTTTAATTCTGTGACAGTTCAAATTACACCATGTATTTATTCATTCGAATTTTAATTCTTTCTTGCCTATATGTTGTTTTTTTGTATGTGCTCTTAAATGTATTCAGACGTTCAGGTTGGGAAACCTTTCAGGGGGAAGCAGGTATTTGAACCATAAACCACGATAAGCTTCAGCGGCTCTGCGATGTTCTGCTCTCGTATTCACATGATCGATATCAACTGCTGATTCCAGAACATCGAGTCCTGTGTCATGTTTCAGTAAATAAACACACATAACAGTGACTGAATGAACCAATGCTTCATTTGTGCGATGCAACACAAACTGATTTACAATTCAGCAGCAAAAACACTTCAAGCCCAAAGTGAGCTCCATTTTAAACATGATCGCGACCTGCTGGGCGTTCATATCATCTGACAGACGTTCTCCGTCCATTCAATGACACATGCGTGTGGCACACAGGGTCTCCTGATGTTTAATATACGTGTTCAGGTTCCTGCTGTCTGTGACAATCCTTTAAACAGACGAAACCTTTAGAAACCACTAATTTTTCCCCCTCGTCTCTAAATCAAATGTTTCTTAGTGTTTTTTTTATGTCTTTCTCGTATATTCGTTGGATGAAAGTATGTCGTTAACGTTCTTGTGTTCTACCGTGAAATCAGAAAAAGTCATTTATAAATATCTCCTCATTGCATTCACGCTTGAAAAATCACAATATTAGTTTGAAAGCGAAATTCTTCCGTGGTGAGAACCAGGGTGAGAATAACCTCTAGATTGCCCCGAAGCAGCAGGAGGTGATGAAGAGCTCATGAAGAGCACACTATGGTGAGAGGGAGAGTTGAACCTTCATGTCACCAGATAATAGAGACGTTGGATTTGAGATGTGTGACGTTTGTGTCTCCAGTAGAGTAAACAAGTTCAAATACAGTCTTTGTTCTTTCATCAGTGGATTCGAGGCGCAGTAAAGACCACAAAGTGTGGTGGAGTGATGAGACCTCCATGCTTTTTCACCCTGTGAGACGATTCAGCCGGACGTCTGGTGGCTCCTTAGTGAGTGTCCTACGGCCAGATGCTGAAACCCTGGTGGCTCCTTACTGAGTGTTCTACGGCCAGATGCTGAAACCCTGGTGGCTCCTTAGTGAGTGTTCTACGGCCAGATGCTGAAACCCTGGTGGCTCCTTAGTGAGTGTCCTACGGCCAGATCCTGAAAGCATGGTGGCACCTTAGTAAGTGTCTTATGGCCAGATGCTGAAAACCTGGTGGCTCCTTAGTGAGTGTCCTACGGCCAGATCCTGAAAGCCTGGTGGCTCCTTAGTGAGTGTCCTTCGGCCAGATGATGAAAGCCTGGTGGCTCCTTAGTGAGTGTCCTACGGCCAGATGCTGAAAGCCTGGTGGCTCCTAAGTCAGTGTCCTACGGCCAGATCCTGAAAGCATGGTGGCACCTTAGTAAGTGTCCTATGGCCAGATGCTGAAAGCCTGGTGGCTCCTTAGTGAGTGTCTTATGGCCAGATGCTGAAAGCCTGGTGGCTCCTAAGTGAGTGTCCTACGGCCAGATGCTGAAAGCCTGGTGGCTCCTTAGTGAGTGTCCTATGGCCAGATGCTGAAAGCCTGGTGGCTCCTAAGTGAGTGTCTTACGGCCAGATGCTGAAAGCCTGGTGGCTCCTTAGTGAGTGTCCTATGGCCAGATGCTGAAAGCCTGGTGGCCCCTTAGTCAGTGTCCTATGGCCAGATGCTGAAAGCCTGGTGGCTCCTTAGTGAGTGTCCTAGTGGCAGCACACAGGAGTCACAGGGAGGTTCTTCCGACTGGAAAAATAAGGTATTTATTCAAACATATATATATATATATAAAGTGGCGCACGAGGACGGGTTGATTCTGCAGGGAAGAATGGCCTCTCAGAGCCCGCCTGCCGGCAGGTAGGAATCCTCGAGCACTAGGGCAAACACAGGAAAAAGGTGAACAAAGACAGCATCAATTCTCAGTGAGCAGCGAGATGGCCTGAATAGGGAGTTTACCACTCTGACGGCGGAACGATCTGGCGCTGACTGGCAGGAAGACCCGGGTTCATATCAGAGTCCCTTGATGGCTGATTGTCGTCAGCTGTTGCAGGCCACACCCTTCGGGGAAGCCCAGGTGGAGACCACACCTCCTTTAAGACACAGGGGAAAACCCAGGCAAAGGAAACAAACACAGGGAGCTGCTGGGCTGACAGCATGACAGTTTGGAAGCCAAACCCTCTGTGAGGTCTTTGCTCGGAGTCCCTTAATTATTAACTTTGAGCTCAATTCTGAAATATTTGAATAGCTTTAGACACATTTACAGGCAGTGGAGAGTGTCTCGGGGTCAGGGCCCCTCCGAAGGGGTCGCCAGATCTGACGGGTTGTGACATGATTAATAGTAGAGGGAAAAGTTCAGATCCACAAATCTGTTTTTAGAAGGACAACGTGTCAACTCATAGAAGTCTGAAATGTGATGACACGCGACCTGTGAAACGCACTACAGTGTGCAGGGGACCTCTGTTCAACAATAAGCTTATTACACGTAACTCCATGTCAAATCAGAAGAAATAACATGACCAGGTAATATAGTACAGTATTAAGGACAATATTTATGTACTAAAACGCCTTAAATTAAGCTTTACTAATAATTCCTTTGAATGTAAAATGTTTGGATTACATCCATAAACACGTAAAAGTCAATAATAATAGTTAATAACATCGTCATAGTGATTTTAAACAGCAGATGGCACTAAAACATTTTCCAGTCTCAACCTGCAGGACAAACCTGTGCGCACATTACGAATCTTCTGTCCTCAGTTTCCTGTGAAAGCCGTTGATATCTGGCTGACATCCTGATGTAGATTCAATGTGTATTGAATTAGCTCCTCTGGCCTAAGAACAGTTATTTAATGAAAAATTTGGGTGAAAATGTCTCTTTGAACTCCTATCAAGTCAAATGAAGCATTGCTTTAATGTGTTTGTGGTTGGACACATTCACCACGTGGAGGATTAATCTAAAGATTTCATTCAGACTATGATAATTTGATAATATTAGATGATTAAGATATGGCACACAAATAGCATTCGTTCTTTTAAAAACAGCAGCATTAGAGGAAAAAGAAAAATACATCTTGTGAATGTATTTCTGAGTAGTTATATGACATGTAATTGTTGCAGGAGTCCTAGTTGAGCTCAGGCTCGGGGACAGACCTCACAGACGACCTTCTTTAAAAGCTTCTAACGAGTCAGTGGGACTGATTCACCTTAACCCCCCCGGAATGAAATATACCTCCATGAGCCTGTGACATTTCAACATCCACAGAGCACCATCAATATTGACATCCGTCATTTTTAATGCAACTGAAAGTTCAGATGCTCCAGCCGGGAGTATAAATGCAGGTTGTGCTGCTGTGTGTAAGCTGACAACAAGCAGCGGTGTGTGCAGAAAACTTTCCACTGGGCCGACACTGACCCTTTGTGTGCCACTTGTGTTGCTCAATAACGTTTTCTGCTGCAGCTTTTTGATGGCGGAGGAGCTCTTTTGAGCAGAGAGAGTTCTGGTGATCATTCTGCTTCATCTCACCTGAAACTGATGCGCGTGAAGCTTTTGTCGGGGACCTTCCACTTGGCATCTCTTGTTTTGTTCAGGACGAGTCTTTGGACAACAAGATCATATTTCCACAACCTTCCTCTGAATCCTCCGTGCTGCTCAAGTTGTTGTTAAGTTGTTAGTTGCTAGTTGAACCGCTGTGACCTTGCTGATTATGTTACTGTGTTGCAGTACGTTTTTTGTTTGAAATCGATGACGCTACTTGTTAACTTTTACACCAAAGGGCATTTCAATCAGGAGAGACTTCTGAGCTTTTAACACGAATTTATTAAAACAAGCACAGGTATTAAACGTGCAGAGTTTGTTGGGGCTTGGACCAGGATGCCTTTGGGAGTCCGAACACTGGTGGTGGTGGGAGGGAATAAGCTCTGATATGACAGGAGGTGTGAGGGGGGCTGCAGGGTTGCATCTGGTGCTTGATGAAATAACAACAGAGAGGAGAACGGCTTCTAACGTTAAACAGCACCGACGTGATTGATTTACCCCAATCAGCTCATGGCGCTCCCACATAGACAGCGGGGCCCCTGGGGGCCACACGGGCTTCTCCAGTCCCCCTCACTGAATTTATGCCTAAGCTTTATTTGAGAATCTGTGTCTTTGCTAGTGGACAAAAAACCCTTTGGAGGTTCAAATTTATGTAACAAGGGTTGAAGTTGACATAAAATTCCCGAACCAGGGGAACCAAATGGAGCCAAATCCATGGCACGTTTTGATTGAACCTGAAAGTTTGAGTTTTGGTCTTGAACATTATTAAAATAAAAACAAATGAAATGAATAAGTATTTTTCCTTCAAATATAATTTTAATTCCTTTCTCGTTATTCACACAAATATATATATACATATATATTAGAGGTTTTATACTTTCAGGAAAAAAGCCTGGAAGAAATTCAAATCAGAGAGTAAAAAGTATTAAATAAATACCGTCAATTGTAAATCCTATTGTTTGACGTTGTCATGGTGACGTGGATGTGGCAGCAAAGTGCCGTCCAGTTCATATTTATACATATGATCAGCTGTCTCCGGTGTTCACTGACATCTTCAACACCTCCCTGGAGACATGCCACGTACCAGCCTGCTTCAAGGCCTCCACCATCATCCCTCAGCCTCCCGGACCATCAGCGCCGGTTCCCCCCAAGGCTGCGTTCTCTCCCCTCTGCTCTTCTCCCTGTACACCAACAGCTGCACCTCCAGCCACCAGTCCGTCAAGCTCCTGAAGTTTGCGGATGACACCACCCTCATTGGACTGATCTCTGGTGGGGACGAGTCCGCCTACAGGTGGGAGTCTGACCATCTGGTGTTGTGGTGCAGCCAGAACAACCTGGAGCTCAACGCTCTAAAGCAGTGGTCTTCAATTCAGGTGCGGGCCAGATGCAGCCCACCTCGACCGAACGCGGACCAGACCATTTTACGGACGACGGGGCGGTTGGCCCTGACGGTCCGACCGGCGAACATTGCGGTTGACATGGGGAGGAACAGAGCCCCACCCTCCCCCGTCACCCTGTGTGACTCCCCGTCACTATTGTGGATTCCTTCCGTTTCCTGGGCTCCATCATCACCCAGGACCTCAAGTGGGAGCTGAACATCAGCTCCTTCACCAAGAAGGCTCAGCAGAGGTTGTTCTTCCTGAGGCAGCTGAAGAAATTCAACCTGCCAAAGACGATGATGGTCCACTTCTACACGG